GTCTACGTCTACTCTGTTATTTCAGCTAATAGATGAAGTCTCTTGTCAACACAGCATGCTGTCACAGAACCAACAGACGGATTACTTGAGTGTGCAATTACAGAAATTATGAGGCGGGTGCAAACAATAAAATTTCATATGCTGTACATTATTGTCGTTACATTTTACAAACTTGTTGCACTAAGCAGATAAACGCTGCCACTTAAGCTGATCTTCCAAAGAAGATAATCAAGAATTAAAGCCTTAAAGAATCAACCAAATGGGGCTGAATGAATAATCTCAGAAAGAAGAGCCAGGAAGCCCACACAGGAAATAGACTGTCACAGGAAATTGGAGGAAATAAACTTCTGGACCCTGGTAGGAAAAAAACATTTTGTGTCAATGTCTTTTAAAGAAGACAACCTGTAATTGTCATAAACATGGCAAATCTGAGATCAAATATACACCAATTAATATTTAAAAGTTCTTGAGTAGATGAAGCTCAGTGTGCTGTTTTTATTTCTTCCCTGTGCCTGTGTGGATTTTTACTGATTTTTGGCTGCCACAGTGGGAGGAGAGGTGCAGTAGGAGGGGCGTCACTGTCAAACTAGTGGTGCACTGCAATTTTGGTGTCAGGATTGATTGCATTTTGTGACGCCCTCCTGCAAGTCAGCAGGGCACACCCGAGTTTTGTGCCTTTTCTTACACTCTAATTGATCGCTGCGACCCACATTAACCTCCCCAAAATCACACAGACCTCTTTTATTCCTTGTTTTGTCTTTATTATGTATTCCTCAACACGTAGGCGTGTCTAATTGCACAGAATTAGACATAGTTGTGTTCTGATTATGGCAGTGATGCTAGGAACGCACAGTAAACATCAATACCTGTCATCCACAACAGCTTGCTCATATGTAAGTCTTTCAGCCGATTAATATCCTTCATACCCTTCTAATGGCTGCAGGTATGTGTTGAATCTGCTGACTCTAATTGGAGAGGCGTGCATCATCCAACTGCGGCTGCACACACCAGATCCGCTGTGGTTAGCGCGATTAATTCTTACGCAACAAACACCAAGCTGTTGCAGAAATAACCACACATACTTCTCTTTTGCACATCAAACAGGCCAGTTATATCTCACACAGCCTGCTGGTTTATACAGCAAAAATAATCCCATTACCCTGTATATAATTTAATTTGAATGCATCACAGTGGTATTTATAAATTCAAATGTGGCTTTTGTCTGGATTTCCATTCAAAATAAAGTCCTCCTCACACAAAACATAGTGACCTCTGAACTTAAAATATGTCCAGAAATGAAATAAATAAAAAGAGACATCATCTGTTTACGGCAGGATATTTGGGCTACTAAATATTCTGTGTGTCCCAAGTTTCCCCTCAGGACAGGTTCCTCTAGACTTTCCACTCCATGACCAAAGTATCAGTTTGTTATGGCGGAGATAACAGCTTTTTAAAGAGGATCGGAGGACTTGTGATGATTTTTACCAGTCCCTAACACACCCTCTGATAACAAATGACAATACATTCTTCCTAATCCCACCCTGTTTCCATGTGCACCCTGTGTGCGCTGTGTGCTGGCACCTAATAGATAATGTGCACTTGACTCATAGCATTAGCATGGACATGGCAGGACATAAACTTTCTGAATCTGTTTACAAAGACAGCAGCTAACAAGACTGGGTGTGGTTTAAACTCTCTGTGGTGAAGTTATCATCCAGGCTTTGTTTCCGGTTGAGATGTTAACTGCTGGTAATTCTACAAATCATCCATTTCACAAAATGGCATGCACTGTAACAAGAAGATTGGAGTTTTCTTGTTTATTTCCTGACTGTAGCTACATGAAAACAGTCGACCCCACTATGATGCATTCACTATTTGCTGAAATTGTCATTATATACACGCAGTATTTGAGACAAACAATATGACAAACATCACCTCTGCCCCCTTTTAGTGCTTCTAATGGCATTTGCAACAATCCACCATGTGTGCACAAAAACAACCAATGAGTTTTGTGACCTGGCTGCCATGGCTGGAGCAAATTGTCTCGTTTTACAGCTAAACAGTACACTAAAATATGTTTATGAAAACATGTGAGGTGAGAAATAGGCAATGTAGTAACAGAATCGTGATTCATATTTGATCAGTGCTGCCTAATTTGAGAGTTTCCGCAGTTTATGAGCAGTGATTGGCATGATTACCAGCTGTGTTAGAGACTTCTCTGCTCTGATTGGTAGTTTTCCAACAGAGTGCGGTAGTTTTCAGCACATGTCATTAGTAGCAGTACTAGTTGTGGCCATACACTGTATAAACAAGAAGGATTACGTGACAGCTTCCCAAAATGTAGCAAAAACATCTTGATCGGTCCCTGGTGTCTGGCTGTCTTGGTCATAAAGGTCAAATAGATGTTTCCCAAATATGCTTTCATGCTGTCATTTTAGACAGCTGTGTATTCCAGTGGATGTGCTCTTGATCAAGGGCGCTGCTCGCGATTAGTTGGATAGCGTGAACTCAGTACCTTGGAGAACGCTACTGCGCAGACTTTGGCTCCAAATAATGTCACCAGCACAAAATGGTGGCAGCTGTATCTGAGATATTTTGTCTTCATTTTTGTACAGTGGGAGGAAGTGATGACGTGTTGTCCATCTTTATTTACAGTCATATAAGGAGGAGGAGGAACATGATTTTTCTCACGTACTATCTGTCTCATGTGATACTGTGTGGATGTAGTGACAGTTTCAGCAAATATGAAGTTGTTTTGATAAAAGTCAACAACTGTAGCTTTACCTATGTTTACAATATTAAATATCGGCTCTAAACTCTCAAAGGACCTTAAACTGCCTAAAGACTCGACTCACAGCTGGTTGGTTATGAGAAAACAACACAATATATCAGTATACGCCTGAAACATGGATGATCTGCACATGTACAGAAAAAAAACTGGCAAACAGGTCTTAAAGGGACTTTAAACAACAGAACATGATCCTGAGGCAGTGTGAGCTTCAGACTGGGTGGGAGTCTCACTTGGTTCCTAGTGATGATTTAACTGCCCAATCACTCTTCACATCCCCCTGGGTATGATGTCATCACGGCTGGCCATTATAAATGGATGAGACTGTGACTGTGCACAGTGTTGCTGTAGGCTCTCTCTTACTCAGTGCTTCCATGTGACAGTAACCGTTGTGTGACTACATCTTGTCTGTAGCACTTACATCAGACAGAGAGTCATCAGTGTGGCTGCAGTCTTCATCGTTATTCCCCTCACCACATCCCTTTGTCAGCATGGCCGTAAATGATGCTCTGCTGACTGCTCGTTCGCATGGGCGGCAGCCTTGTGCTGCTGAAAGTGCTGATGGTACACTCCCACTGCTTCTTAAATTGCATTCCTAGTGTTATGCAGGATTATCGTGTTATTGTGTCGCTTTTCTCTCGACCACTGTTATTACTTTGCTCTGCTATTACTGCTATCGTACAAAACTTTGCAATTACAGTGGGAGTTTTACAGCGTCTCACTGTGTTCTTGTTCTAAAGACAATAACAGCAGTCTATTTTTTCCCTCCTCCTATTCTGGGTAAATATCAGGATGTATTGTTAATAAAAAGGTTAATGTTTTAAACAGACTACTGCCTTTTCACTTGCATTTGTGGCAACCCTTTTCAAGATGAGGGATAAATTCAGACCTGTCTGGCTTTTTGTATGGATAAATAACAGCCTGGTGGTGGTAAAGGTCAAAGCAGCTGCCCTTTTTTTAATCGCACAGGCACAGAAATAGTTGCACTTCACATTCTGATAGTGGGGTTTCTTTGTACATAAGACTCTTTAGGTCAGACTTGATTGTTATAAATATTTTATGATATTTTTATGCCATTCTGTAGGCTGTAGTGATTTATACTTTTGGACTGGATTGTGTTGATGTTGGTTTTAGGGGTTGGAAAAAAAAGCAGACACTGACACTGTAACAACAAATTCTGAAGTTTAGAGGCTTCACACAAAGACAGGATTAATTGTAAAGCTATTATACTGAATTACATTAGATTGTGCAATTACATAAAATAAACTTTTAAAGGGTACCTTTGGTATTTTTCAACCCGCACCCTATGTGTGTTTTGTGTCCAGTATTGAGAGAGACAGAGAGACAAAACAGGCTGCACTGAAACCACCACGGGTATTTGTGCACCATCAATTTACATCCACCAAAAGAGCTTGTTTTTGCCAGTGACAGCTCACATTGTTATTCCAAGTGTCAGACAACATTAGGGAAAGGATCCCCACAGAGACAGACCTCTCTGTGAAAGAGTAAGATCCTTTTTGTTTGAACAGAAACAGCCCCGAAATCACCATCGCCAAACCCACCAGGCTCCTTTTGAGTAAGCAGTGATTTTGTCATCGTAAAACACATTTCATTCAAAGGCGACAGAAACAAAATGAACTTCACAAAAGTGGTCTTGGTTCATCTTTTGACTGTTCCAACAATCACCAACTCTGGTTTGGTTGAAATAAACCCTTAATTCACCCAGTTAGATGTAAAAATATATTGGCTATATACATGCTTAAATTACTATTTATTTAAATGGAGTCTGTTGTGAGTGGGGGTCACAACTTTGGGGCTGTTTCTGATCAAACAAAAAGGATCTTACTCTTTAACGAAAAGATCCATCTCTGTAGAGATCCTTTCCATAAGTTGTCAGACACTTAGAATAACAATCTGAACCTCTCAGTGGCAATAACAAGCACTTTACATGGACATACATTGACAATGCACAATTGCTCCAAGTGGTTACATTTCAGCCTGATTTGTGACCACCAGTGAAGCCCTCCTGCTCAGCACTGGAACAATTTCAAAAATGTTTGTCTTTATTCATCACTTAGACACAAAAATGGGAAAATAGGGTCCAAGTTAAAAAATACCTAAGGTACCCTTTAATTTTGTGTATTTTGGAATTTCTTTTTGAATGCTCACACAAGAGCTGATGATTTCAAATGTTCATATTTGTTTATTTCAGGGCTGGTGAAAATCAAAGAGGCAAACGACATTGAGGAGAAACTGAACGAGGTGGAAAGACTACTGAAGAATGCCATCAACATGCCGTGCAAGGTTGGTCGCTCAATCATAAACCTAGATAATATTATTACTTTATTAGCACGTTTACTGTGCGTGAGAAGATTTTCATAATACCTCTTGTTTGAGGGTAAAAGGTAGATGTTTTGAACTTTACAACTATGTAGACTGGACTGATAAAACCTGACTCCACAGTATTCCAGGTCAGAGGTGATGTTGACTTTCTTTGAGAGATCGCCGCTGGATCAGGTGCTGAGGAATGACAAAGTCCACAGAATCCAGCCGTGCTTTCAAAGTCCAATAAAGATATCAGGTATGGATTGGTAATTATTTTGTAATACAAAGATGAAGTCACTGTTGACTCATGTCATGATGACTTAACAGGTTCTCTGTGCCTTTTTAGAAATCATGCGGTCCAATGGATTCTGTCTGGCCAATACAGAAACCATTGTATTTGATCACAGTCTCCCTGAAGAAAAAGAGAGACCCTCATCCACTGACTCTGTGGAGCATACGTGAGTATTAAGACCACTCCTCAGTATTTTTGTCTGTGTCTTGCCCCAGTCTTTGTCATATCAGCTTTTTTATAGACACTTTCTAAGACCGTAAGCAATAATTTAAAAAAATCTTGCCATGAGACTGATTAAAACCTGCAGTGCAACACAAATTACCTGCATGTTTTCCCACACATATTAGGGTTTCTATTTTTGCTCTGAGTGCACAGTGTACAAGTGTCTTGATGACTGTGGGAGTCCTTGAATGTGACCCAACCCTAAGACCCTCCACCCGCACAGGAAGTGTGTCTGTGCACCTCTTCCTTCCCTGGGTGTGTGGAGGAAGCAAAAGAGGAACACATTCCTCTTGGTGCTTCACACAAAATATGACTTTCCTTGACTCTTTAATAGCTGATATTTTTATGTGTGCAGTGATCATGTCTGTCTTGGTTAATTTGATCACTAAAAGCGGATGATTGTTATAGCAGATTTTTTTCTTTTTGGTTATTTCTCGTGCAGATTACCATGTTATTGACATTTGTATATTTAACACATGAATATAATGTAAGGCTGGTATCCCAGACTTGTGCTTTGTGTTTAATTGGAGCTAAGTCTGGTCCAACATACTGCTAGCCTCTAGAAATCAGCAAATACACTATAATTGTGTGCATCAAGTGCATAGGACACTCAGAAAGCTTTGTTCAATGAAAATAATTGCTGACTCTGTGTTCTAGAGAGGCTGTTGGTACTTATTTTCATACATTTTGGGAATGTGCTCCAGTGGATAGATTCTGAGAAATGGTTGCCTCTAACCTCTCTGATATATTAGAGATAATTGTGCGTCACTCACCTGTTACACTGCTGTAAATGATCTGTCTAAGCTGGATATGACTGATCAAAAAGAAAGCATTATTAGCCGGGCTTACAGCATCAAACACATGGCTTGCTACATGCTTGAAGCCACCCCATTAAGTCTCTTTTCAAGTCTAAGTTCCAACGTACATAGGTATTGTGTACTTAGAGTTATCAACAGCCTGTGTACATGGGGCAAAGGAATCAACAATAGAGATGTCGAGCAAAGTCTCTTTGAAACTTAAAAGCCCTTTAGAATCAATATTTTGTCAGGAGTCAGTGGTCGATACATTTTCTTCCAGGATAGTGCCATGAAAAACAGCTGGGGATTTTTTCAGAAACATTGCTGAGTTTTGTGGTTTTTGTGCCTAAACCTAACCACACGTTAACCATAGTGTGGTTAATAATGTACAAATGTGACCTTTTCCGTGGTTTGCCTAACATACAATGCCAACATCTTTTCTGGCGGTTTTTCACATGAGTTTGGGGTGGTCCTTAAAATGAGACTGTCCTTTTTGTTTTGTTTTTTTGTTTTTTTGTCCTTCTTATTACTACTATTTTTTTCTTGTAGACGTTGATTTTGTGCAGTGTTGTGACCCATTTTGAGTTTTCCATTGCTACATGATGTACAATAAATGTCATTTAAAAAAAAAGTTGATCACCATAAAAAAGAATATGAAGTACTGAAACAAACGGCTTCTCTACTTACTTAATGTTATTGACTGTTACAAATTACAGTGCCGTACTTTCACTGCAAGGGCATTCAATGGCTGGTCATTATCAGTCTGCTTGATGATGGCAGCTTCAGCCACTTTGCTAGTATGCATTTGTTTTCTGTCTCCATCAGTTAGCGTAGTTTTAGATAGTTTTTCCATGTGTCAAGACCCAAAATGAACTCTGTCAGCAGACTACTTGATCACTATGAGCACATTATTTAAACAGCATTTGTACAGATTCTGTCCCAAGCTTTTGATGCATGTAAGCGGTTGATCACTATAAGAGGTTTCCACTCTACCAGCAGATAAAGTGTTTATGGGTTGATGTCGACAATTACCACAGGGTCTTAAATCAAATGCATCACACATCCTGTCCTTGGAGTAATGTGTCTTTCTTTCTGTTGCCAGGTATGAGGATGGAACAGAGTTTCTGCCATTGGAAACAGACGTGTGTGATGAGGAAACAGAAGCATATGTCACCAACCTTTCCTACTACCATCTGGTCCCATTTGAAACTGACATCCTGGAATGAGAGACTGATGCCTGTTGATGGACATCTGATGCTGTCGTTGAGGAAATGGAACCTAGCTATGCAACACTGCAAATAGCTGCTCCAAGTGAATGCTGCTTATCCTTGCATACTCTAGAGCTGCTTCTCGCCCATTTTGGAGTTGGTGCAGATGGACAGTGTGCACCAAAGTATTGGAAGAACAGCAGGACCACTTCGCCTTCAGGCAGTGTCACCAGTGTGCCTCATTCAGAGCCTTACTTGAGTGTGTCAAGAAGAAACATGACAGGATTGTGTGTATGCTGGCCACAAAGGGCTTTCAGGTGTTGTAACACAACCTGTGGAAGCAACAGTGGAGCTCCTTTGGTCCTGCAGCAGATGCAAACAGCTGGAGAGGTTTCAAATACGCAGCTTGACCACTTCAAAAGAATTTATCAAAGACATCATTGTCTGTGGTGTGGAGTGTGGAGTGTGAGTGCAACCAGCAGGGAGAGGGCCACTCATTGGCCTAAATTTGGAGGTGAATTTACAGTATTGGACCTTTCACTGTCACTTAGAAACGTAGCTGAATCAACCAGCACTCTTTATTTTTCTACCTGAGTTGTTTATCTTTCGCATTTATGCTCCATAAATTTGCCAGGAGAAATGTGACGTTTCTGCAAAGCTTATTTTCTTCACATTTAAACCTGCTCCCTGAAGTGTTACCCACAGTGTTGCCACTCTGGTGTTGTATTCCTTTGGGAACACAGGAAACTGTCATGAAGCTTTTTGTATGATATTTGTTTATGGTGCAATTTCCACTAGCGTTTTTCTTTGTAAAATACCAGTTTGACACTCATAGGATGATTCCTGTTTTGTTGCTGTGACATGCAGATGGTTCTTTGGCATGAGAGTACTCTGAGATCCAAGTGAAACTGGACTGAACGGATACAACGTGTGAAGTTTAGCCAACACTAAAGATAAATGAAAAGGAGTCATTGGAGCAAATTTTGTCCAAAGTCTTCCTGTTTAAGCATTAAACAAAATCTTTATAGTAAATGAGAAAAACAAAGCTTTTATGCTAATAGACTCGAACCATGCAGTATCTTATGTAAGTGTCTGTTTCACTTGGTTCTTGGTTTACTGTCAAATCAAAGAATATTAAAGAAATATGAAGTGTCATTAAAGTTTTGTTACAACTTTCCAAAGTGAGAACTTAAAGGAATACTTAACCCCTTAAATGACCTTTTGTTTATCAGCTACTCACCCCCTGTTATGTTGAATTTGTGAAGAAAATTGTATTTTTCTTGCATGCCTCCATGGTGAACAAAGAATATAAAAAGAGAGAAAATTCTTGATGAATTGAAGTCATAGGGGGCCACATTTAATAACAGCACAACTATATCAAAATATCTGTTTAAAAATTCTCTTACAACTTGTGCAGTGTAATGCAAGTCTCATTTATCCAGTATGCTCAGTATTTCTTAAACAGACAGCCCTTAACGACAGGGAACTGAACGGAACTTATCTATGCTGTCTTCAGTGCCAGACTCCACTGACATAACCAGTAATTTTACCTCGCACAACACAGGAGCTGCTGGTCTACTGCTGCCTCCATCAGTTAGTTAGTTAGTGTTATTGTGAGACTTTGGTGTTTTAAAGGGTTATTCAGGATTCACCAATGTCACAAAATAACAAACAAACTACAGACTTAGGCAGCAGCAGAACAGCAACTCCTGTGTTCAGTGAGGTAAAATTACTGGATTTGTCAATGGAGTCTGGCTTGGTACTCCAAGGGAAGTATGAATGAGACTGCATGAGTTGTGCGAGCATTTGTAAACGGATGTTTTGATACAGTTTTGCTGTTAAAAGCGGCGGACCCCTATGACTTCACTTCGTCAAGAATTCTCCCCATTTTTGGATTCTTCATTCACCATGAAGGCATGTGAGACAAACAAAGTTTAATTCATGATTTCATCCTAACACGAGGTGAGTAATTGATGAACAAATGGTCAGTTGGGGGTGAAGTATTCCTTTAATGCTGCCTTTTTAGACGTTGGTGAGAATTTTTTTATATGAAGTTGTTTCTCTGTAATAAAGTAGAATGTAATATGTGTTTGTAACATAGCTTGTAACGTTGCTTATTTTATGTTTATAAAGAAATAATTAGATATATGAGAGCGGAGAATGAGTGTTGCCGTTTTGTGGAATCATCTCACTGCTGTTGTTGCCACGTGATGACGAGTGATAAAATGGGGCAAAGAAAGCTTTGTTTTATGGGTCACTTGAGGTCATATCTGACCCGTTCTGTAAGAAGACGTGTGGGTTCAGTCAGACAGCTGAATGTGGGAGTCTGCAGCTTGGCCTGCGACAGGAGAACAAGTCCTCTCTTTATCTTAAGAAGACAAACGACCTTGCTGTATTAAAACTTTCTATAGAAAGAGTTGTGTGAAATAATCAAACACTTGGTTAAAATTCATGCCTTTTGTATGTTTTATGGGCTGCTTTCACCTCTCGTAGCACCTCTTATGAATCTGTGGAACACATTGCAGCATTACATATGGCAAAAAAAGTTATGTTTGTGTAGGATTAACTGTAAGTAAATCCATCTGTATTCATTGTTTTGACAGTGTTGTCAGTGCAGAAGTCATTGTGGCCTTACAATGTGGGCTAACAGCTTGTGTCCACTTTCCTGCCCCTCCAAATACAAAAGGCATTCAGTCCTCACAAACTTGGCACATGGGGCTTCAACAGGACGGTCCTCCACATGAGTCTATTTAGTAACACAGTCATGATCACCATTCACCCCATGAGAAAGTACAGCTCTTTCTCACGGTGTGAAACTATTTCATGCTTCTTTTTGCTTTTCTCTTTTCTCCAAGAATGACGTCTTGAAATGAAGGATAGTCTTTGGACATAAAAGTTTCAGTTGGGAAAAAGCATACATTATGGTAATGATTAATATGACTCAATAAAAAGAAACTGTCTGATTTAAATTTTCATGCCAGGGTCAAATTCTCTCTCTTTCAAGGACCTGCATTACATTTATTAAATGGTGTAAGAGTTCATATTTAAAGATCAAATATCTGTTAAGATGTCCGTCTATCTTAAGACCCTTCGCAGGCCGGGTAATGCATTATAAATATTCTGCCACAGTCTATGTGATGTTATGACTAAAATGGTACTCAGCTGATCTATGAAACATATCAGTATGCCCACCATGCCAGCCAGCATTGTGAGGACTCGGAGGAGAAAGTAACAGTTAATATGAAAATAATATAACACAAAATAATTTATTTATTTTGTAACTCTTGCCACGCTCTGTGAAGCTAACCATTCTATGCCTTGTGATTTCATTTTTATGTGTGACATGAGATCCTTCTGTGTGTAAATATGTCAAAAGGATTGAATGAAGATAATCTTAATTATAACCTTTGGAAAATGAATTTATGTGGTAACATGTTTGATAACTTTAAAGCTACTCAGACAGTATTAGATACAAATTATTATTCTCAAAGCTTCTGAAAATAAATATGTTTTCAATAAAAGAAATGTTCATGCGATGTGTGTTTGTGTGGAAATCATGATGGAAATACATGTGTTGGTACAGAGGTCAGTACTTTTGCTCAAGTGCTGCATTTGAGTGCAGTTTCAAGGTGCCTGTACTTTCCTAGAGCACTTCCATTTTATGCTTATACAGTGTCATAAGGAATTTATGATGGGTCATAGTGCACGCTATCGTATTGTCTTGACACAAATAGAGACTTGACATTGGACAATATTAACATACATATTACCCAGCAACCATCACTCTAAATCTGACAAAAATATCAAAGTAAGAAATTACACCACATTCACATTCACACCTATAGCCAATTTAGAGTCATCAATATATTTGTTTGGCTGGCAAACAAGGAGACAAATATCATTATGTACTTGTGTGTTCTTTTTTTGATAAAGAGAGAAGAGAGTTGGTCGGACAGTTCTACAGAGCAAATCCAAATATTTATAAGTTTCAAAAGTTAATGTCATCTCGAAAAGTAAAGGTCTTGTCAAATTTGTTGAAACTTTTAAAGAAAATCTTGAATAGTTTCTCTTGATTTGCTTTGACTTGTATGTATGTACACACATTCTGTTCTATTTATTTTGCTGTGCATTGGCTGCCGCCTGTTCTAATTTGTTAATGTTATTTTTTGTTGTCTGCCCCTTATACCCCGGGGAGAGGTCAAAAGGAATAAATGAAATGAAATGAAATGAATAAACCTATCCCCAACCTGCATGTCTTTGGACTCGGGGAGGAAGCCGGAGTACCCAGAGAAAACCCACGCTGACACAGGGAGAACATGCAGACTCTGTACAGAAGGGCTCCCTCCTGGGTACGAACCAGGAACCCTCTTGCTGTGAGGCAACAGAGCTAACCACTACACCACTGTGCCGCCCCCTTTTAAATTGATAATGTATTTCTATATCATTCAACACTGAACACAGGTATATTTCCAAGGTTGCAATCTGAATTACTTTAAAGGGCCCACTCTCTGCGGGCTTCTCCACCCCAGGGGCCCCAGTGCAATTGCACTGCCTGCACTATTTATAATTACGCCCCTGGTACAGTACTTTTCTACATTTCAGGTAGAAATATTGTACATCTTATTCTATGACATTTATCCGAAAGCTAGTTACTTTACAGATACATTATTTTTTACATGCAAAACACACAAATCATTTAATAAAATACACCATGTAACAGTAAGGTAAAGAAAAAATAAAAGTAGCTCCATGTCAACAACTGTATTACTTACTGCTTATCAGATCAAATCAAACTTTCTGTATAGCACAAGTTATAGCCTACATAAAATGCAACTGCAAGTGCTGAACATAAAAGAGTAAAAACATGACAAGGAATGATTAAAATGAATATATAAGTAAGTATAAGTATACTGTAATAAAACTTTACAGTAAAAGTCACAATTTTGAGGTAATAAAAGTTAAGGATGGATAAAAACACACTGATAAAAGCCTGGCTGAAAAGGTGTGTTTTAAATGTACTTGTAAAGATGCCCTCTCTCTGCCACCCTCATTACATGTGCATCAGTTATAGTAATCAAGCACTGATATAAATATTCATATATGATGATAAAACTCTATCAGCGGCCATGTGTGTAATGAGCAAGGCTGGATAACAAACAGGGCCGAACCAAAACTGCATTTCAATGGGACTTGGAGAACTGATTAACTGCAGATCATTATTATGTAGTCTTTCCAAATCTCTATCTCCATGTGAAGTGTGGTGTGTGCACTGCACTGTATGTAAACTTGACTCAGGACACACACAATGCACAGAGGATGTTAGGTGTGTGGGGTGGTTGGTTAGTGGGTAAGGTAAGGTAAGGTAAGGTAAACTTTAATAGCCAGTAGTCGTGTGTCCAACAAAACAGTATCCAGTATCACACGCTGTCAGGGGTAAATCATGGACATTAATGGTCACTGCTGGTTAAGATAAGCGATAGCACACGGGACAAAGCACAATATGGAACGCTTTGTGCTGCATTTAGGGAGGCAAAACCTCCGCCCTGATGGAAGCATCTACATGGAGGGGATGTTTAGAGTCTGAGACAATAGGCCGAGCTTTAGAGGTGACCCTCTCCTCCAGATACTGCAGGTTATTTAAAGTAACACCAGTGATCTTACAGCACAACTTGACCACTTTTTCCAACTTGTTGTTGTTTTTAAGGCTCAGATTACCAAACCAGTAGACAATGTTGAAAGAAAGAACGGACTCAATAAAAGCAGAGTAGAACATTTTCACGATAGTCCTATCTACATCAAAACTCTTCAGCTTCCTTAAAAAGAGTAGGTGTTGGTTTGCCTTCTTACAGATGCCATCAGTGTTCACATCAAAATTCAACTCGTCTTCTCAAACATATAAATGTGCAGGGTAGACTTGTCACACCAGTTAAGAAATTCATCCAGTACTGGGGGCCCAACAGTAAAATTTGGCCCTGTAATCAATTAATCTGGTTATATTAATGACTACTTTGAGTACCCAAGTTCAAGTTATTTACTGTCATATGCAAAACAATTATGGAGAAGCAGTTTTAGGTAATGAAAATCTTAGATCTCAGGCTCCCTCAAATGGTGCTCATTAAATATGTATTAAAAGAAAATCATTCAAATAACAAAAGGAATCTAAGACATAAAATAGTACAAAGTTATGAGGATAAAATATAACACACATCAAATATAAGTACAGTATATATAATTGTGGTAGACTATAACTGCAAAATGAGTAAACGGTAATGTAAACAGCAATGTAGTAAATGTATAATGATGTAAACAGTAAGAACAATTACAGTAAGTGCTGTGTCACAGTATGGCAATATAATACACTGGCCAAACACATTTTGCTGATTATAATCTTCATCAGTATCATAATGCAGAAGTAGTTATAGAGTGTTTGTGTATTGTACTGAGTTTACCTACATTAAATAAAGGGTGCAGGCAGTGAAGGATTTGGCCTGTTGCCCGTTTTGATTAGCTTAGAGCGCCACCTTGTGGTGAGTATCGATAGTCACCATCAGTGTCATTTTATTCAAATTTAATACGGTTAAAAACAGCTTATTGTGTGATGAATGAACAAGATTTAAGAAAAAAAAAAGCAAAACACACATTTCAATGTTTGGTTATGATGGTGTGTTTAGCTCTTGGTTTAAGCAAAATGCGCTGATATCGTTGATAAAGTAAAAATATGCGAAAATATCCACCGCTTTTGCTTTTTGTGTTGTTATTTTAAACTTTATAATAAATAATAATATGCAGCTGTTGGTGCCGTTGAAGCCGTTAGGAGCCTGCGTAACCTCGCGCATGCGCAGACCGGCTCGATTTAGCAGCTGTATTTCCTGCTTGCTGTTTCCACTCGTAGCGATGGCAGAAGTGAAAGCTTCCCTGATTTGTGGCGGTACGTTCACTTTTCAATTCCTATACATTTAATACTACACTCTATCTGTTATCACAGCATCTGTTAAAACGAGCCTTAAAGCTCCTGTTGTTGAAACAGTGAAGGGAAACTGATGCTGAGTTAGCTGGGACGAGCTTTAGCTGGTGATGCTTCAGTCATGAGGTTTCAGGCTGGAGGGCTGGAGAACAGACACTGTACAGCTCCTGCTCGCGTTATGATAACATGTATATCTCTGTTATATTGTTACAGTTATAGCGGCCTGCCTGTGTTCAGCGGTGCTGGCATTTGTTGAAGACCTAGATGACACGTAAGTGATGCACTCTCCTGCCTCAGTGTTTCACCTTCCTGCTGCTCTGACTTTATAACGTGCTGCATGCAATGCAACTTCCGAGTACACTAACAGACTTTATGTGGGTGCAAATCAGAGTTTAGCTCAACTTACTTCTTCCTTTGGCTTTTTTCTAACGTGTGCATGTTTTGTTTAATGCAATTTTACCATATGTTAAAGCTTCATCTCATTTCCAAAGGGCTACATGACTACAGTTAAACAGAGGAGGGTTGTTAAAAGCAGAAGCAGGATGGGGGTAGTCTTGATTTCATGTCAGGTTTCTAGATGCACAGTGCTTTTTAATTGGATGCTTGTGGTGAGGAAGTCTGTGGAGATTTTGTCTCTTGTGTATTTGTGTTTGCTAGATCCTCTAATTTGCCTCATTTTGTAACTGGGGGCCCATTTCTGCAACTTTCTGCAAATAATACCTTAGTATGATCATACACACTGTCCATACTGTTCACACTGCTAACACTGTATCCAGCATAGTCATGTCCACCCCTACTGTGTATTATATTTATTATTTATATTTACCAGAGGCATGTGCATTACTTAGTCTGTGCATCTTATTTGCACCTCTGGTTAGACCATATTATTGTCTCAGTACCTGACAGAGCTGAATCTAGTCTAACAACTGCTCTCATGTTCACATAACTTGAATAGTAATTGTTCTTCTGTCTGTTACAGCATTATTTTCAGGTGTTTAACATGCAACATGCATATTTTAATGTGAGTCATTCAGTATATTGCATATAATTTATTTAATTCATTCTTCTTTCTGACAGATTTAAAGACACCAGAGTGAACGATATCTGGCTGGTTGACGTGAGTCCGACATTACTCACACACACACAAACACACACACAAACCAGTCTGGGTCCATTCAGCTATGCTTTACTTCATATCCAACATGCCACTGTCCGGATCATCCCTTGCGGAAGTGGCAGCAGTCGGGTCGGGATGCAGGAGGGCGGGGGGCCGGAGGGGATGTGCGGGCTGCCCTCTGTGTTTGTGATTAGAGAATGAGAAGTCATGCATGCCAGGCAAAGCCAGGGGGCTTGGAGGGGTTTATATCAGAGTTTGTGTCTGGGTCCATATAAGCAAATCAAGCATGAGCACTCCGAGCTGCTTTCAGTCCTAGTTTGGGTCGGAGGAGTGAGTCCTTGTCTGTGGACGTTTCAGTACTGTGTCTACTGGATTTATAGACGTTACAGTGTCTCATACACACTCTGTGTTCAGAGCTTATGCACAGAGACTTATGGAATATTTTCAGGTCCAACGTTCAAATAGAACTAAATTGGCCAAATTCACTAGAAAGGAATTTGTTGGGGCATGAAGCTATTCCGTTAAACTGAATTACTGTATATATGCCAGTTACATGTTGTATAAGTGTCTTCTTAAAACTCCACTAATCAGTCTTTTTATAATAACAATGAATCAAATACATTTCGTAATGTACAAGGTGGTGTTTCCAGTGATAAAAATCCACACAGAATAATCAGCCACAACTTAGCAAATAGTTTTAGCTTTATGACACATGAACTATATGGTTTAGTCTTACTGCTCTTGTTAGTTTTGTTGCCAGCAGAAGTAAACAGTCGTTAGCTGCAAAAACACCCCAAATGCTAAACAACAAACCCACTGTACACCACCTGCTCATCACCAAACAGCAGACAGACACAGTTAGTGACCAGCTGGTGAACATAGAGGAGCATTTAGCAGCTAAAGAGACAGATATCTCAAGCTCTTCCTTCAGGAGGTGGTGGTGACCAAAATCAGAGCTAAAATTGGTGTGTCTAAATGGTATTGGAGTTACATTTGCCAGGTAGACAGAAACACTACTCCAAATGAATGATAATGTTGCTCTGGTAAATAAGTAACTGTTTGGTAAATAGTTATATAATAGCATATCGACTTAAAATGTGATGATATGTCACTGTTGTGTTCACAGCATGTCTCTGTTCTCCCTAGGTGGCCAAAAAATCAGCTGTTACAGTTTTAAAATGTCATAAAGAGCCCTTAATTTGATCCTAACTAGCAGCAGTGCATCAAGATGAACCTAGCAACTGCATCACAGTGTTGTCAGTTTGCACTTAAAGAATCCATACCAAAGTTTGTACCCAATATCACACAGTCTTTTAAAGTAGAGGTAACAACACAGCTCAGAACAATCATTTAGATCCATTTCAGTAGAAGCACGCAGCACTAAACTACAGCAATACCAAATATTTCATGTGGTTGGTGTGCTTTTAGAACTCCCATTGTCAAATAAAGTGAATTAGGTTGGTCAGTGTGGTATTATTAACCCAACTGCCAGAAAAAATGTTGGTGTTGTATGTTTGTATTCCTGCAAACCATGGATATGTTACATTTTTATGTTATGATGTAGCAGATACATTTAAACTTATAATTTCAAGACCACTGTGTTTAACGTGGTTAGGTTTAGACACAAAAAACACTTGGTTATGGTGGGGAAAAGATCATGTTTTGCCTTAAACTACCCAGTTTCAGAGGTACTATCCCTGCTGGAAAAACAGTGTCTGGTCACTACAAAACACTGTCATTTGGTTCCTAAAAAGTTGCTGGAAATGCAGCAGTGATTTGCTGAAGCACAACTGGTTTTGTTGTTTGTTGGTCTCGAACATTGATCTGCAGTGGTCTGCCGCTGGGCAGGTGACTTGCCAAGAAGACACACCACCCACCATCTGCTCCACCACCTAATGACAACGTCAGCTCATATACTTTGTTGATATGATGCGTGTGAAACGTGCAATTATAACGTATTTGTGGTTTGCAGAAAAATACAATGCCAATATTTTCTTCATGCAGCTTGCCTGAGTATTATCCATATTCTTAGATGAAATGGAAAATTAAAAATGAAATGAAAATTTGTTTTTTAAAAACACACTCAAAATGAATTACAGTAATGTATGAAGACAATGTGGGATTATAAAAAAAAACTTAGATTTGGTTATTTATTATATAGATAGTTATATTTTGTATGATTAAACATTATATTGACTACATGTTGCACATGATCTAAAGATTGCCTCCTTCTCCTGGTTATTTTCAGTTCTATGCGCCGTGGTGTGGCTACTGCAAAAAACTAGAGCCAGTATGGCATGATGTGGGAGTCGAGCTGAAGAGTTCTGGGTCACCGGTCCGCGTGGGAAAGATGGATGCCACTGCTTACTCTGGTGAGTAAACGATGAAGCACTCCAAGGTCTTCCCTTGGAGCCAGTTTGTCCCCAGGTAATTATTCCATGTGCTGGAGACAAACATAGATCATCCTAATTGACTGTGTTGTTCAACAACATGATGACGTCCTGTGTGTAACAGGCCTTCAGGTCTGAGGTCTTAAAAGCTCCGTAAACAATGTTGAAGATAGATTTTGATGTTTTTTATTTTGACCTTATCATGATATCTCAATAATATTGTTATTCATATTTTTCCCACAGTAATCATACAGTGAAAGATTCCAATAATCCTCCATTAAATTATGAAGGCCGTCCTTTAGGATTAATTCATGGACATATATTATTTAATGTTGAATAACAGACTAAAACCTTGTTTATATTCCACTGGGCTTTCAAAGGAATGATTCAGCATTTTTGGAAATATGCTTTTTAGATTGTAGCAGAGAGTTAGACTGAGTATAGTAATCATAAGGGCACAGCTAAGAGCCGGTTAGTGTTGCTTAGCATGGCTTCTTATTTTTTTCTATCAATTTTCTCATCTAAGAATGCAAGAAAGGAGACTGTCCCCAAAATACGACCACGTAGGTCGTACAATTAGGTTGTATTATGAGGCAGAGGGCAGCAGGGATTCAGGTGATGCGGTACAAAGAAAAAGACAGTCTGCGTAGGGGGAGGGACGGGGTGAATGGATGGTTCAAACAACAACAGGACTTTGACCCAGGAGACTGCTGTTTGTGTCCCTTGTGAAACCAAGACTCCACGTTGAGTTTGTTTTTAGCTTACTTCATGTACCTTAGTGAATTTATGTCAGTTACATTGTTATGACACTGATGTTATGTAACAAACAAACTTATTTTAACTCAAACCATGATCTTTTCATACGACTAACCAAGTAGTTTTGTTGCCTAAACCGACATTAACCATGTTTTTAAAACTGCAGTCGTTAAAGGGTAACTTTGGTATTTTTCAACCTGGATCCTATTTTCCCATGTTTTTGTGTCTAAGAGACACAAATGGGAACAACAATATTTGAAACTGGGCGAGGCTAGGGGTGAGTTTGTGTACAAAAATCTCTAAACTTTTAGAGTGGGTCATTCTTTTCGTGTAAACGTGTACGCGGGTTTCACTGCTGGGTGGTGTTATTGCATTATACCAGTAAAGCCCCAGTTATCCGAATACCAACCGCATGGGCCATTTAACCAACGGTTACGGGCAGCCACACCGAAATATCGCCATTCCGACGGTCCACCATCCCGAATTCTGGTCTCTGAGTCCTGACAGTAAGCTATGGCGAGCCTACAGAAGCCGTATTTCCCATGCATGTCAGCGATTTTCACCGGGGACGCATGCGAGTAATTCAGGCTGACATTACCTGTTTTTCAGCGAACTCCTTTGATAATTTTATTAAAAAAGCATAGCATATAGGTCCACAGTAACTTATTATTATTATTATTATTATTGTTGTTATTATTATTGGGTCTTATAAGAGTGGGCTACAATGAGTACCGGGCCATTAAATCACAGCATCCGCGGTGAGAGGACACGGAATTGTGTGCGCTTTTACGCACACAGGTCAAATTGATCACGGATATTTGATGTGGGAAAGATGCAGCCAGATGTATTACCTGTTTTTAAGCAGCACCGAGATACGTGGCTTGTCCGTCCATCCATCGTAGCACGAGTGATGTGCGCCACTTCACCACCAACCGGTGTGTAAAAGCGCAAACAATTCCGTGTCCTCTCACTGCGGATGCTGTGATTTTGATGGCCCGGTACTCATTGTAGCCCACTGGCGAACAACCCCCTTAACGGCCGTGCCGTTTTAATAGAACGGAGCATGTAGGCTACTGACCTGTTGCCAAACCCAGTCTCACACCATTTCTTGTCATATTCACAGTCTATCACAGTTAGTCAACAATTAGTATCACCCCCCTCTCCCCTAAAAAAAAAAAAAACGTTTTTCCTGTACTAATTTTTCATAACCATTTATGATCTCTAACACGTGTAAACGTGTACACGGACTCACCCCTAGGCGAGACCACTGAAGTAGGCTGCAGTGAAACCACTTAGGGCATTTGCACCGTGAATGTATGTCCACTAAAGTGTCTGAAAACATTATGGAAAGAATCCATTTGGTTAAACAGTACTTTTTTTTTTGTTTAACCAGAAACAGCCCTGAAACCACCAACACCAAACCCCCCAGACTCCATTTAAATAAACAGTGATTTTAGTGTGTGCAGAGCCAGCATATTTTCACATCTAACTTGGTGAGGAAAGGGTCAATTTAACCAAATCAGAGTTGGTGATTGTTAAAAAAGTGAAAACAGGAACCAAGACAGCTTTTGTGAGTTTTATGTTGTTTCCATCAACTTTGAATGACGTGTGTTTCGCTGTTTTGGTAATTATGGTTTATTTAAATGGAGTCTGGTGGGTTTGTCAAGAGTGATTTTGGGGCTGTTTCTGTTTAAACAGGATCTTACTCTTTAACCAAAAGGTCTCTTTCTGTAATGTTTTCAGATAATTAAAATAACAATCTGAACCTGTCAGTGGCAAAACAAGCATTTTTAATGGTACATAATTGCCCATTTCAGGGCTGCTGGCTGCAGCCATCTTGCTCAATACTGGACCAATTTCAAAATCGTTGTTCCCATCATTCACTTGGACACAAAAACATGGGAAAATAAGGGTCCAGGTTGAAAAATACAGAAGCTACCTTCAAGCGGTCTTATATGTCGTTTTTGTGTTGATCTCCGGACACCGGTAGGGATGCTAATTTAGGAAACACTCCTATGGGTCATATTAGAAGGTAGGAACAAACAGCCTATGTGGTTGTATGTGTTGGAGGACCTGTTGCAAGAAAGAGAATATGTACATATGCACATATTCCAAAATGATTCCTTTAATCATCAGTCATTTTGCCAGTTAAACAACAAGACTCTTAAGACCTTCAAAGAGAAAGACGGTTTTTGAGATATTTATATTTTTTTATGTGTAAGATGCCGTATTTGTTTTCTATGTTGCAGGAATGGCATCAGAGTTCGGTGTCCGCGGTTACCCCACAATAAAACTGTAAGTGACACAAACTTCTGTAAACATGTTGAGCTTAAAAGCCACAGTTGATTCAAAACATTTGCTTTGTGTAATCATATATGAATGAAGATGTAACCCTGAACACTTTAAACGTTGCCTTTTTGCTAATTGCTGTAATTTTCATAACCACTCAGTGCAGCTTTGAATGGGCCTAAAGAAATCCATATAAGATTAAAAGGCTTATTGAATTTACTATGGACCTACAGGGTCTGGACACAGTGTAATAATTAGTCCAATATAATATATCTGCAGATAACACTGTTTCTGTGAAGCCTCTAGTTTTAAGCATTTGTTAAGCTTGTGTCAGAGAGGCATTTAAAGTCATTTTTGAGCGTTCTAATTCATAGTCTGTATTGTGTTATTATCAGGATCCTTTGACTTCACCGCTGTCTTTTTTCCCTTTGAGGTTTGGCCTGTTGAGATGCCGTTAGATGACTTATTCAGGAGGGAACAAGGTGTTGTTGCTGCTTCTTTAAGCCATAACTAAGGGACACACTCTGTTCACACCTTTTAAGCTTAAATTTGATTAGGTGCAACACTCTTCGGTGCTGTTGATTCTACATTTCTTGCACAATAAACTGATTAAAATCAGCTTTAGCAATCTAAATGTTCCTCTTATATTTTACTTTTTTTTTTCCTAGGTATTTCCTAAATCCACTTCCGAACTATCAGCTGATTTTCCCATATATCTCAGTACTTTTTTTTTGTGTGTGTGTGTGTGACATTTTTTCATATAAAATAAATGAGTTTAGGTAGACGCCAGCTGCTCAACATCAGAGCTCATGTTGACTTGAGAGAAATGATCATCTTACAAAGCAGACTTTCCTCCATGTATTTGAAACAGAATCATTTATCTGCACACTGCCATAATAGGCTCCCCATTTAGTTTCATCAAGCTCATTTGGAAAACTGCCACAGGATCACGGCAGGGTTCATAACATTAAACCAAGCAAGTGATGAAACATCCATCGAATGAACATGAGATACCTCCCTGGGTGACAGAGGGAGACTTGATTTAGAGTTCTGTTTCCCCCTGAGTTCATTAAGCCCTGTGGGCTGATGCAACCTTAGAAATCCTTAATGCATTCTGCTTGTTGTAAGAGCTCGACTCGAGCAGTTTATTTTGCTGGAACTTAATTAGGGACACTCATTTGTTCTGTTTTGTTTTTTCATTTAAGGTGAGAGCATTTAGATTAAGTTGACCTTTGTGATGAAGCAGCTTTTCCTGATAGATTTGCTGTTTCATCAGAACATCTTGGAAGAGACAGGCTGCCGTTGCTAGGATGTCAGACACACTTTAATAGTGCCAAAGACAGATGTTGTCTTTAATGGGCTGAAGTAGAGCAGCAGCTAAGGATTGTCTCTGACTGTTTAGTGTATGAAATGTAAAATAGTTTTAAGGTGACAGCTCCACATGTTGTGTTTTGTTTGACTAACAGTCCCAAACACAAAGACATTGTGTTTACACTCAGTGGACACAGTGTTAGGTACACTTGCTTGTCGATGCAAATATCTGTTCTGCCAAACATTTGGCAGCAAGTCAATGCAAAAATGTGTGCAGACTTGGTTGAGAGGTTCAGTTGTTGTTGTTTGAACATCAGAATGGAGATGAAATGTGATCTAAGGGCGCATTCACACCAGGATAGTCTGGGGGACTCGGTTCGATTTGGCGGGGAATGCCCAAAAATGTCACACCTTCATTTGGTTCGGTTCGCATCTACACTGCACTTTTTGAAGCGGATCAAACCACCTGGACAACGTCACGCAGTTACAACAGCTGCTCGTTTGGGGGTGGTATTGCCCGAAACAACATCTGACCAGGAAGAAAAAAAACATGAGGAAGAAGAAAGCCCTGCTCATCGATTGGCCGGGACTGAAAACAGAAATCCTTCCCCTTCAGCCGGATTAGTCACCACAAAAACAATGGAGCGACACCAAATTTATGCAGTCTTGGGGTTTTTTGTTTTTACTTTGGTGTTCAAACCTAATATTTTTTTTACCTCTGCTTCTCCCGGTTCGCACTGTAGGCTTTGTTTTTTTTCTACCCAAAATGCACTGTGCGCTAAGTCACTTCCTCTCTTTGGTTCACTGGATAGTCCGTTTGCATTTCCCACTGTAAGTGAACCACAGCAGGGTTCACTTGCAAGTGAACCGAGACCCCCAGTTTTTAAGCAGACCAGGGTTCGCTCGTTTGGTCCACACTAGAGTTCGATTGAGCGTTCAAACCACTCCAAACGAACCGAACTCTCTGTGGAAGTGGACCAGGGTTCGTTTATAGCAGACCAGATAGTGCCAGTGTGAATGCGTCCTAAGTGGCAGACCGTAGACTGATCGTTGGTACCAGACAGCGTGGTTTGAGTTGTTGGTTCCATCAACATGACAATGAGTGTATTCAGTGTATTCCAGTGACCTCCAAAGTCACCAGGGGCCTCATCTATAATTGTGCCCAAGACAGAGCCTGAAAAGGGCATATGCCATTTCTCACGTTAGAGTTAGGATCTCCAAAAACAAATTTGACAGGTGAATGGGGGCACCTTTATGGAAACTCTGACCCATGCATACAAACATGTTGGAGACAAATTGGCGACGTAGATGGTGTGGTGGTGAATTGAAGCCACGTCGTAGAAATGAAATGTGAGGGGATTCAAGATGATTCCTCTCAGATTCACTTCATTTCACGTTACTATAGATTCGCTTTATCATAAACATTGAATCCTGCAGTGTTATTTGTGCTTGTGCTGGTGAGCCATGGCTAATCCATGAGCACCTTTCAATTATATAACACACAAGACAACTCCAATCTCAAATCAAAGTTTGCTCAGTATTTCATCAGCGCTGGCTCACTATCACATTCCCCACCAGCGGAGCACAGAGGAGGGGCCCGGACTGTATGTTGCTGACACTCGTGGTCAGATGTTGAAATGCTAGGATGATGCCAGGATGTGGCAGGTGGCAGGATTCAGGATAGTCTGTGCTTCCTGTCCCCGATATGAAAGCAGTCATTAACTGATGAAATAATCATCATCAGTTAGAGAAATACAAGATAACATCAAATAGCTTTAAATAATTGCAGAGCAGAGCATCAATAGATTACAATAATATCTTTTAATAGTGTGCATTAAATTGCCAAGTATGATTTTAGTTTTTGTATTGATTTTGTGTGTAAAATTGCTGCAGAGAACACGACTGATGTCAGGCGCACATAATTATGGCGTGATTTATAGTGAAGAGCCATTGACCAGCAGGCTCTCTTCATGCATAAACATTTATGTGGTGCTTTGTATTGACCAGTTGTGGTTGAATGTGGGCGTGTAGAGGCCGATCCACGTGCAGCAATTCAGAGTTGATTTGGGATTTATGAAAGGAAATCTCGCAGGTGTTCCAGAGAAAGTAGCCAGTGAGCGTATGAAACAGAGAAAAGCAGCAAATGTTGACATTTGAGGAGCTGGAACCAGTTAATATTTGCCATTTTTGCTTGATTAAACAACAAAAACGATCGAATGTCAAATTGGTTGCTGATTCATTTCCTGTCTATTGACTAATCAAACAATTTATTTGAGCTTCAGCCTCAGCTGTAGCGTTCTTCCTCCTGCTGCACACTGTTTGAGGCTTTTCAGACAAACCAATATCCTGAATGCAAAGTTCAATGTCATGCAATTGATTTCCATTTCATTTTAATTTTCACATGAATGTCTTCACTCAGCAGCAAAATAACGACACAAAATAACCGATGGTACAGAATGGTTTTACATTTAAATTGACACTTTTTCACTCTTGTTTTGCTTCTGTCTCCTCATCAGGTTAAAGGGTGATCTCGCCTATAACTACAAGGGACCAAGGACAAAAGATGATATCGTGGAGTTTGCCAACAGGGTGGCAGGGTAAGCCTTCAGTCACTGCTCTGAAAGCAAATTATGTGAAACTGATAAATAAGGACAACTTCCTTTATTACAGCTGTGCTAATAAGAACCATTCCAAGCAAGCTTATCAATGTAGGCCGTGTTTGTTTCATAGCTCAGTGGGTTTCCCCTCTCCGATGCTCCAGTTTAAGCCACTGTATCAACTGTGCCTGACAGATTTTTCTCCTCCTTGAGGGAAATCGAGCTAGATCCGTAACAGAGGGGTTGATCAAAAACTTGGCTTGGACCTCAGGGCTGCACATTGTTGAGTCTCCACTGGGTGGTGCCACCAGCACAGAGCTCAAGAGCAGAATAGTTGGGAGTCTTTCCCATCAGTTATATTAGTGTGCCATTTTTGTGCTGAATAGGATTTTACTCATTAAAATAAACTAATTCGTGTGGGTTTTTGTTTCCCTCTCCAGACCCGCCGTCAGGGCGCTTCCCAGCAAGCAGATGTTCGAGCACATGCTGAAACGACATGATGTTCTTTTTGTGTATGTCGGTGGGGAGTCTCCCCTCAAAGTAAGCATCATTTATGTCATGAATTTTATTCTGAGCACCCAACTTCTCCAGAGCTACCGCAGTGCTAAAACTGTGCATCGATTGAGTGATAGAAGCATGGCTCAGCTGCTGTTGAATCACATTTTAAACAAAGAGCAGGTTGTGTGTAATACCTTGTAGTGACTCAGCCTTTACATCTGTTTAACACTGATTTAATGGAAGCTATTGTGTACACGCTGAAAGACTCATTTGCCGTTGCAGGAGAAGTACAACGACGTAGCCTCTGAGCTCATTGTCTACACTTACTTCTTCTCGGCTTCAGAGGAAGTCTTTCCAGAGGTAACTCTTTGAATTTGCATCTCTTTGAATTTCAGAAAAATACTATAATCACTTGCGGAGTGTTACATTTTTTTTTCAACACCACTATTGATACTCATGAGTATTGTGCAACCAGTTGATGTTTCTATTGTTGCTAGGTTCTTGATTAAAGCAAATAATTACAATCTTTTAACATAACTATCCTCCCACAACTGCATATACAGACACCAGGCTTGCTTGCTGTCTTTGCATTATGCAAATCAGTATAAGTTTCACAGTTTGCTGCAAAGCACTGCTGCCTACAGTCTTGTCCCATATTTTACAGGTGCGCGTACATTCATAGAGTAAAAATGATTTATGGAACTTGCTTTTGAATTAAGCATCTTTTTGTGTTTTCCACAGTCTGTAACTTTGCCAGAGCTTCCTGCGGTTGTAGTCTTCAAGGATGGGGCCTACTTTACCTATGATGGTGAGTATTGTGTCACCCTGGCTTCAGCCACTGTCGTCTTGTTTCTTTTAGTCAGTCATACCACGGCTTATAAGGGCCAGTAGGGTGCTCTCTGTGTCCTGCTCCTTGTCTTTTCCCTGCTGTGATCCCTTTTTTTTTCTCCAGCTGTGTTCCTCTAGTTTTCCGGTCTTTGCTGCTGTTCTTTCATCTTCCTCACCACATTGAGTTATGGTGTGCCTGGCCCATCATAAAGCACCCAGGGCTCTGCCCACTATTGTGTGTGTGGCAAGGCCAGTGATGTTGTGGTGGTTTGTCTCTGGGCGGACATGCATAGCAGGCGAGGGTGGATGGGCATGAGAGACCACAGTTTAGGCCAAAGAAATCAGTGCAGAGCTGGTGCTGTATACATACAGTCATTTAAAGCCAAGAATTGAATCATTGCAGCAGCTGTCAGGTCTCTGCAGAAGGATTGTACATGACATATGAGGCTTAGAGGAGCTGCTTTTTTTCTGCTGCCCAATCCGAAGCTTCTCACCGCAACAGCGTGAGTTCACCACATTCCTCCATGATGTCTTGTATTTTGCTGCCGCTGTGGGCCCGAGCTGGGAGGCGGAAGCGGAAGGGAAGAGCATCAAGACACAACGTCAACACAAACGGGCACCAGTAGTGGCTGTTGGGCAGGTTTGGTGCGCGGTGTAGCGCACGGAGAACAAAATCCACCTTCGCCGCTGTCTGTAAGCTCACATCCGTCTGCTCCACCTGACCATTATGGAAGGGAGGCTTCCTGCACCAGAACCGCAGCAGGAGAGGCTCGCCACAGCAGACGCTGATGACAAAAACTCCACATTCTGAAGAGTCCTCCAGGACCTTGATACGGAGGATGTGTCGAATGTCTAGCATTGCCATGGTGACGGCATATTAAGCTTGTCAAGGACTGAGAAGGGGAGCAGCGTAGCAAAATGACACGGCTGTGTCCTTCCTCAAATGGTGGATTTCTCCTCTCCCCTTTCAAGCCTTTAGAGCTAGTTGAAGAAAAATGCTGTAATTATTATTGGTTATTGTAGGTGGAAATGGATTAAAATAATGAGAGTGCAGCTCATTAAACACTTACCTACAATGACAGCAAAAAAAGAAATTTCCCACTCTACATCAGAGAAAGTAGTTTGCCTGCTCTATTTTTTTTACCACCTGTGGTTCTCAGCATCTGGTTTCTTTCCAGCTGTGCCGTGTTTTTCTCAGAGAGCTGTTCTCACTGCAAGTCCACCGACTGGATGTTGAATGAGGGTATAAATGAGCCCAAGGCACCTTATGTGGTTTTCTGTGACACTTACTTTGCATGATGTTCTGTCAGACACTTTTTATCAAATGTTATTTGGCTGAACTTCTGAGACACATTTGCATAGGCACCCAGTAACACTGTTTTATGGCCGACTGTAGAGTTCTGCAGGGATGATGGTTTTTCTGTAGGCTGACATGGAAGTCAGCATCGCCCTGGTTCCCTCACAGAAAATAAACTCTGTAGCAAACAAATGCTTATGGTACTTAAATGTTTCGTTCAGCAAGATAATCTTCACAAGTGAACACCACTTTTATGATTTTTGAAGTGTAAATGCAATCACCAGAAGTATAAAGCTAACAGTAGGCTGTAAATGTCCTACACTACGTTCGTATGCCTTTAGTGTCGTCACCACAACAAGGTTGAAAGCAGTGTTAGGCGTGATGACGTCTTGTATTTATGAAGTTGAGCATAACGTGAAAATCTCTTAAGCTTGTGTTAACCACAGACCTTAATTCAGACATTGAAGCAAAAACCCATTAAAAAAACCCAGTTGATTTCAAAACAAGGGAACAGGGAGTGCTGAAATGCTGACTCATTTCCACCTTTAGGACTCATGTCTGGATGTATAACACATAATATATTTTTTATTATCTGTACTGTTTATCCACCAGCTACAGAGGCTTATATATTCCCAAAACATACAAGCAACCTTTATCTAGAAGCAGATTCAAAATACTAGAAATTCAGAGCACATTTGCTGTTCTCATTGTGCAGATCTGACTTGTTGTGTTTTTAAACAATAGACACCATTGAGGGAAGCCACACTGTCCAAACACGGCCTCTCGCTTTGCGTAAAATGGTATTTGACATATGGTTGCGCTTTGATTGGTTTAGTGCACATCACAAACAGCAGCATCCCTTTTGTAGAGAGCTGTTAAAATATGGTACAGCACAGAGGCTCATACATATTTAATAACTCAAATCCTCAGTTTCATACAGGTCTGCACTGTTATTGTGCTTCAAGGGCCAAATGGTTTTGATCATCATTTGCATGCAGTGAAATCTGCTGGGCTATGTATTAGCGCTGTAAGAAGACTGAAAAATGTAATTAGGATGTATGTTAGTCCTCACAGCATGCTGTTTGCCTTGACAGGAGTGTTTTTTCAAACATGTTTTGAGTGTGAATGCACATGAGTTAATACTCAAGAGCTCAGCATCAGGCTCTCTGTTAATCTGTTACAGTGGTTTATGGTTTGGCCTCACCGCTCCTTGTATGGAAAGATACAGCCAGCTGTGAGGCCGCACTATTTTGCATGTGTTTATTGGTAGCACTTAAATGACAGGCGGATTAACGGCCCATGAATGTGATGACAAGACGAGATCACACTTAAAAAGGTGATAACACACTGATGATATTTTGTGACAGCACACATGGAAAGTATTCACTTCATCGGTTATTTGAGTTGGCAAACAACAAGGTCAGTGCAGATGACACAGTGACCATATTTTCCACACATGTAACATCACCACTGTATCATAATTCAAGCTGGGTACCAGTACCTGGAATTCGGTACTGATGCCCAACAGTAACTTTTTTCAGCACTTTACCTTCTCTGTAATAACAAAAATTTATTTTTTACAAGCTGTAGGGGTGACATAGTAGACTAAAACTCTTGTGGCAGGTCGGCACTGTAGCGATAGTTTTGGCTTGCTGGAAAGCTGACGAAGCTTTCCCAGAGCTCTGTATCTGGCTTCCAGGCTTTGGGACGCTTCGCAGCACCTCTGCCTCTTGTCTAAGCCTGGCGTTCTCACCTAGATGAGCTCTCACTTACCGAAATTTGGCACCTACAGATGTAACATGAGTTAGTACTGTAGTACCAATGGAATTTGGTTAGTACCCTTTAAACTACTAACTTCAGTACCCAACCCTAAATAATCCAGCTATTTTGTTTGTTAGTTTTAGGCCTAGTCCATTAGTACACAAGTATTTTTAAAAATATTTTTTTCCATCCTTTGCTCTTAAAAATAATCCTGTCCACACAAGCACCGTTTTAAAAAAGTCTCTGTCCAAATGAAAATGCAAGAACACAATGTCATCGCTGTCAATAACATGCCAGACCAACAGGCGGTGAAGCCACGCAAAAAGGAAGAAGATGTTGGCTAATCAGAAGCCTCAGAAAAAGCTATGATTGAAAGGCTACATGGAGTGGTGACCTCCATAGTGCATTCTGATGCCTCTGTTCCTCAATATAGTGGAAGAGTAACACCTATTTCTACCTGGTCACGATGCAAACAAGTGAGCAAGCGAACATCAGATTGGTTCAGTGTTTCCCAATGAAATCCTAACCTGCTCCGTGCATTAGCGAACAGGCTAAGTGACAGGACGCATATTTTGAAAACCGCTTGCCCTGGCTCTGTTCTGGTGAAGCTTTGTGCACCTCTAATGTGTTTTCAGAGCAACAGCAAGCTCGATACTCCCTGAGTGTTGTTGTCGCTTGTTGTAGATCTGGACACTTTTTTGTACTCCATTAGCCAGAGTTCGCTCATCGGCTGTATTTTAGGAAGAGTTGTAACTCTACATTTATGTGCTGACATGTAACAAGTCCTGTTAGCAAGGTCAAAGCCACCACTATCTTTGACACATCTGCCATTGCACGAAATGTTGCCTCATTTGGAACGCCGTTTGTCTAATACTTTTGTTTCTGGCTAAAAACCTGAAAAACCAATGACATTCCCATCAGCTTATCCGCACTTTGTGTTATAGCAAATGTTAGCATACTAACATGCTAAGGTAGGCTGGAGAATGTGATAAACAACCAGCCTGCTTTCTTACAAATCAGGTAGACCTCCAATGATTATTTGATTAATTGATTAGTAGGTTGACGGTTGTTGAATTAATTTTTTAAACAAAAACACCAAACATTTGTTTCATGCTTCTCCTAAATGTGAGAATTTGTCATCACCTTGTGCTCAGAGAAATTATACAGGACATGTTTTACTAATGATACTTTATCAACAAAATGATTAATTGAGAAAGTCACGGGCAGATTAATCAACACTGAAAATAGCTGTTAGCTGCAGCCTAAATTTAAAGAAGCTGATTCCATAACTGAGCTCCACATGTCTTCCACACATGCTTTCCATCTCTCACTGTGGCCTTATTGTTGTGCTTTTTGGCAACTAGTTAAAGCATTTTCATTGTTTATCTTTAAGGATTATCCTTTTTCTGAGAAAGCGAGACATGTTGTCCCATCATCTCATTGAGCTCTCTTTCATCAATCTTTTCATCCTTTGCCACATTCTGCGTCTCACCCTGTTTGAGTTATCTTTGATGTTCACTTCCTCTTCTCCGTCTCTTCTTCGCCTCTCCCTCTAGTTTTCTTTCTGTGCTATTTGCATTATCTTGGAGGTCATCCGTGCCATTAACCTTCATCCTTGAAACGTGTCAGAGCTGCCTCCTCCCTCCGCGCGAAACTCTGACACTGGATCATCCTCACTCCACCCACTGTCTGTTTTTATTCCCCCTCCTGCCTCTCATCTTTTTCTCTTGTCTCCCGCTGTGTGAACTCTGGGCTGACAGGCTCCTGTAGGGCAGTATGGAGATTGCGAGGTTGGCACCCAGGAAGAGAGCCGCTCTAATTTGTTTGAAGGTGAAGCAGGTTCAGTCGGTGTAGAGGTTCATCGGGCTGTACGATCCCAGTATGGGGCCTTCAGCTCTCTCCCTCGCTTCTGGGAGGAGAGTCGGGCAGCTGCGTGCTGTCTATAAAGCCAGAACATCTGTGGAAAGAACTCTGTGGAATGTCTACCAGATGACTGACTCAGCAGCTTTAACAGCAACTCTGCCTTTGCACAGCAGCAGCACTGAGAAATAGATTGCAATGCATTAAGGTCATTTCGAATCTAATAAAAGCTACGACCCCGGGGGGTTTAAAAGCGTGTTCAGGTTTTAGGTTGTCATGTTCGGTATTGTGTGCCCAGCTCGTTTGGGGAGCAGCTCAAGAACCATGTTAAAGTCATCAGTGTTGTTGTAATTACTGTAATGGTAGCAAAAAGGTCATGATAACTTATTAACATGTCATAATGAGGTCCCAGCTACATTTGACATCAATTATGAACATCCTGTAGCCTCTCTCAGCCGGAGAAAACAGCACTGTTTGAGCAGCCTCGCTACACCCTGTTTATACCCTCCAGGGACAGACTCTGGTTACCGTTTACATGTTGCCTCCAGATGCTAGGGTGGCAACAACATGTGGTTCACATTCAGGAAGCTATCCTTTATTTTACTTTATTTTTTATTTATTTGTTGCACTTTATCTTTTTTTTTTTTTTTTGCCTAATGCATCTGTTGAATTATGCATTCACTCCAAATGTGTAAAAATCTGCCAAAACTGTGTCCTGAAAATGAATGTAGTACGCATGCAGAATCATTTACAAACCAAATGTGTTTTTTTAAAAGGCATAATAGCTGTGAAAATGAGGTTAGGTGAGCCAGCATCTCAGAAAAAAAACAGCATCTATTGTGAATGAAAATTACTTTACATTTTATATCTTGACAAACGGCTGTTTGGTAAGTGGGAAATTAATGCTGATTGTGGACAATCCAGACTGAGCGAAATGTTCTTTCATGTACATCTTGACAACCAAACTGATACCTTTGATTGTTTACCTCTGGATTGATTCGCAATCTGCTTGCTCTGGCTCAATCCATATGCTGTCTCAGAGCCAAAATAGCCTCCCTGACTACTTAACCCAGAGGCAGCCCCCTGTCAAAACAATTTTTGATCATTGTTTAACTGACCTCTGTCCATGAACACTCAGCTTGTGTCCCACTCTTTATTCCCTAGAGAGCGCACAGGTGGTAAACACTGTCATCTTCTCACAATCCAGGCATCAATACACCGTTGTGCTGTGCTTTTAATACAAATATGTTGTGTGCTGAATGTCAATTTTGTGCTTCTGCTTCTGAGAGATTCTGTGTGTCTTTGTGTTGCAGAGTACGAAGATGCGAGTTTGTCATCGTGGGTGAACAAGGAGCGTTTCCAAGGGTACCTTCAGATTGATGGCTTCACACTGTATGAGCTGGGAGAAACAGGTGGCGTATGCATAAAATTTGTCATCCAGAATATGTTCTTCACTCCCATGACTTGTTCCAAATAACATAGTCATATCGTAGTCTTATTCCATGGTGTGGTCGAATAATTCCTGATAATTTATATTTGTATTAACCTTTATTCAACCAGGAGTAAAAAGACTCATTAAGGTTAAAAATCTGTTTTCAAGCTGGCCAAGGTAGATCCATGGTAGATAGCTTTCAGCGTGTGTTGGCACTGTGAAGATGCATGCATGTACGAAACATCACCATAATCCAGCATAGACATAAAGGTGAAATAGTAACGGACACCTACTAAGAAGTTCCTGTTAAATTATCTGTTCACCATTCTAGATGAATGCGCTGGCTGCATAGTATCAGCCTGTATCTAGAATAAGTAACCGTAGCAACAGGGATGCAGTCAGCCTCCCTTAAGAATTTATTGCAACACGTTAACAAGCTAACATCTTGCTATTGATTGGGGGACAATGGCATGGCTGGATAGCTAGCTGGTCTTGTTGGTAAACATACTGTCAAATTATATTTATTATTTGTCAACTGTACACAATGTTACTGACTTTGAATCTTGGTAGCACAAGGCCTTGATCACACCGAGACATGTTGCCACAGCTGCAGCCACTTCAAATATATGTCATATGACGCCGCCGGTGTGTTTTGGCCTTAAGACAGTAGCCTGCATGAAACTATCACAACATGGGACATGAATTCCCCCTCTCACATACTCTGTATCTCTCTCATAGCCCAAAAGCTAACATGCTAGCTAGCTAAGTAAGCAGCATTAACTGACTTGAGTTACCAGGCTGCTCATGCAACCCCAATTAGTGTTAGTCATGATTAAATAGCACTAAATGATGATGCGTGATGCGTCTTGTGTGATCAAGCCCTAACGTTAGCTTTCTGGCTTTAAGCTTGGCCAAAGGGTTTTATGAGCTGAGCTGACTAGAAATATCTCACTGCTGAGTCGTATCTAAGGCTCGTCCTATTTACTGGAGGAGTGAGCATCGTTTACATAACATAAGAGCCTTGTGGGGGTGGTAATGACTGTTCCAGGTGTTAGTCCAAGCTTCAAGCGTTACCAGGAGTTATGGCTTGTGAAAAACTTTAGATTTTGATTGAAAAACGCATAAAAATATAAATGAATAGTCTTGTTTTTTTCTCTTCTGCAAGTGACCATGGTATAAAGGGGATAATGCCCTTCGAGGTGTCCATTATCAGGGATTAATGGACTCAGAGGAGGCAACCAGCCATTAATTTCTCATTCCTCATCAGGCAGTATCTCTTACATATACATATAGATTAATTTAAGCCTGCAACAAACTGTTATTTTCAGGAAATGTTTTTACCAAGGTGACATCTTCAGATGCTTAGTTATATTAGTACACATATTATATTAGTTTACTGTCACATGAGATAAAGAAATACAGGAAATCCTCACATTTGAGAATGTGGATCTACAAATTCCATTTTTGCATAACAATAAAGCACTTAAACGATTATCAGAGTAGATGCCAATTCTTTCTCTGCCTCATTTCCGCTCTGTTTTATTTTGAAACATTATAAACGGTGATAATTTGTTAGTCATGAGCATGATGACTTTTTCAGTGTAGATTTTTATATTTTGCGCTCTTTAACTCTTAATGATGATGGAGCCAAAGTCAATAGTCAACACTTTTAAATTACCGAATGATTACCAGCACATAATTTGAAGTGCAGCAGCACACAGCCTTACTCAGCCTGCCTCTTCAATGCTATTTCACACTAAAAATCTTTAATATTTAACATCCCAGCCCCCAAATATCCAATCTACCACATGATGACTTTATAATTAAAAATCAAATATCTCAGAGCTGCTCTTGTCAAAAGTTCCTCGTAACAGTATCAGCATTAATTGTGTGTCGGGGGTTTGATAGGAGAATCTGTCACTTCCCTCCAGATTTAGACCATGTTGTGCTACTTACTCAAATGTACGCACACTGTCTCTCCCACAGGAAATTTAAGCTCGAGAGTGAAATACAAACTGTCTGTTAAACAGTAAATTGATGATGTGTGCAAAGAGAGCTGTGCTTTCTAATATTAGACACAGTATTTTACCGCTTTATGTGCATTTGACTCAGTGATCAGTGATGCTTAACAGTTGAGTTTTACCTACATTTGTTGCTGCTTACTGTCAGTATCTAAGTCATTTGTACCAAATTTGCAGTTTGTCATTCTGAACACAAAACAGTCTCTAAAGCACCTTAATTGGATAAACACTGCGACTGATTAAAGACGCCGTAATCTGTAGCTTCAGTCTGTTACAATAACTCAGAGTTTAGACCGAAGTGAGTTTGTGGAAACAGTATAAAATCTTTCAGCCTCGTCTCTAAAGGCTTTTCAATCAAGTGTCAGGTTTCATGCCCATGGGCTCATTTTGGGGTGGCACAGTGATATTTTGATGCTTTAAAAGCCTCGTCCCACGCAAGTCTATGCACCCATAAATACCAGTGTGACCAAAATCAATGAATAGTCTCAAGCTGCAATTTAGATCTATTTATGGGTCAAAACTTAAGAGAGAACAGGCAGAAGCGAGGATAAAGTTGGAAACAAAATATAATTGACAGTTACACAGAAGGCAGTTGTGTTTTCTTTGTGGCTGGGTTTCTGTTCCGTTCCATGTCCTAGTAGATTTCAATGTCCCGGACAAATGGGAGAAATTACAGTCATATTATCTGTGTTTACTGAGCTTAAAAATGACCGTTAGTGCTGTTACGTCGTGTAAACAAACCAATGGAGAAGTAACCACTTAAAAGATTGGTTAGTAGCCTTCTTGCTAACTTCTTACGTTAATACTTTTTAGACAGAAATCACACATTTTATATTTTGATATTCACTGGAAAGGACATACAATACAGCCAACAGCAATGAGGTTGTTATTAGAGATGGTCATGTACAACTGATCCAACTTTTTACATCCAACACCAATAACACATCAATTTAAACAGGAAATAATATAAAATAATGTAATATAATGTGATGTGTCAGACACTTATAGATTCCCAGTGAGGGCTTTTTTAATTGAATTAAATTACATTTTTTGGGTAGTGTTCACCTCTCTATAAGGAAATGGGTGCGCACAACATGCTGATACAGTCAATTAAAAATTCATTAATAACTTAGTGCATAGTCCCAGTTGAATATTGCAGTAATAATGTGTGGTTGTCACAAAATTCCATGGTACATCTGGATTGGCACACCATTGATGTAGATAACTCCTTATTTCAATTTCATGAATTGGCTGTTCCTTGTCCATTGTGACGCTTTCAAAATGAGCATCAGGAATCAAAAGTTTTTAAAAAGTTAAGCTCGAAACAGCAGCACCTGCATCACTCACAGCCAGTTGGAACATTCCAACAGAAAACAATACAGTCAAACTGATTTTGTCGCTGACGCTTGCTTGTTTGGAATCATTTACACCGAACATTATGACTGGAGAGATTTCAAAATGTTCAGATTTTACTGGATAATTACCGGATGAAAGGAAACCCTGCTTTGTGGTGTACAGATGCATTTGAAGGCTATTCTTCAGTGGCAGTATGTTGATAGTATGTCTTGTAACTAAAACACAACCAACCCTCTTAAAAGAAAGACTGCACAGCGTATTTTTCACCACATCTTAATCCAAAGTAGTGTACAGTGAGTGACAGAATGTCACAGGCACAGCAAAAACTAAAGATTATTATATATTTTGGTGTGAATGTCCTCAAAATTTGGCCCATAAACATCAAACTTTCTACACAACATTCACTGGATTTATGCTGCATTTACGTGAAATCAGGCAGACAGTAGACAGCAAACAGAAAACACCCTCTGAACGGCACAGGAGAAACAAACAGTCCGACAGAATGGCACGATGTTAAAACAAAACATGCATGACAATATGTTGCAATGGTGACACCATATTGTTTGCAAAGAATGTGTGTAACATCCGGTGGTAAATTTCGTTGTGCATGATGGCAAAAAGTTAAAATACTTTAACTTCAAACAGCAATGCTTGCTGCCGTTACTGTTGCAGGTTTCTCCGACAGTCTCGCCTCATTTTACCATCCTGCTTTCGTCTGTGAAAATGATATATCCGGTTTGCTGTCTAATGTCTTCCTGATTTCATGCAAGCAGCATTAGACACACAAATAGTCAATTCAGCACAGTCAGCCAGATAAACAACGTCTAGTCCACCATCTGATGAATTAGAAAATGAGCTGGTCCAGTCTATAAATATGCTTTAGAAGATTTTAAGAAATATGATGCTTACAAGTTGCTAGATGGATGTCTTGTAAATGGATTACATCACTTCACAGTGAAGGTTGAGTGTTAATAGCTCTTTCTTTCAGCTTCTACCAGACGAATTTGAAACTAAAGCTTGTCACTCTTAATGAATAACTTTATTAAAATGCTTCCTCATAGACTCGATGTCTTATCAGAGAGAGAAAACCTATTCAGAGTATTGATGGTTTATCAGCATTTGAACTGCATTATTACCACACAGAAAGGATAAAAACATCTTATCAGATCAGTTACATCTGATCTGAAAAGCTGTACTAACCATTACCAATAACCATTATTTAAGACATTCTGGAGTGCGTTGGTAGCCAGTGGGTATAGTGCAATGTCCAGGATTCAATTTGACCTTTGTTGCATGCCATATCTCTTTGTCTTCCTAATGTCTATACAGTCATGTCATCTGTCAAATAAAGGCAAAAATGCCAACAAAACTAATAACTTTTAGCCATTAGTTACAATTTATGAACTTCTGAGAAAGTGGCCCCTTCTGTGTTAAAGGAATACTTCACCCTCAGAACAGTCATTTGTGTATCAGTTACTCACCCCGTGTTACCTTGAAGTCATCGGGAAAACTTTGTTTTCCTTGCATGCCTCCATGGTGAACGAAGAATCCAAAAACATAGAAAAGTCTTGACGAATTGGAGTTAAAGGGGTCCGCGTTTCACTAAAGCAAAACTATATCAAAACATCTGTTTACAAAGTCTCACACAACTCGTGCAAAAAATAAAATCCAGTCCGCTGTATATCTAGTCGTATGCTCAGAACTACCCAAACACAAGCATTTTTGTTAAAAGCTTGATATTCAAAACACTTGAAAATGCATACAGGTAGTGCACCTGGGCAAGCACGTACGTTTGAACTCTCCTTGTGCATTCCATAGAGTTTGCATGTTCTCCCTCTGTCAGTGTGGGTTTTCTCCGGGTACTCTGGCTTCCTCCCACAGTCCAAAGACATGCAGGTTGATTGGTGACTCTAAATTGGCCATAGGTGTGAATGTGAGTGTGAATAGTTGTCTGTCTATATGTGTCAGCCCTGTGATAGTCTGGCGACCTGTCCAGGGTGTACCCCGCCTCTTGCCAAGTTTTCCTTTAACCTGAGATTGTGGTGTTTCCTTTAGTTGAAAACATTTGCCTGTAGCTGAGCAATGTAACAAAATGGGCTTGTTTTTTTCTGACAGTATACAGGAGTGATGTAGCTGCATCAACAGTAGATATGGTGCCCCTACTTAGGAACTGCAAAGAGTTAATTAGGCACATTTTTGTAGGTTATATTCCCAAGTACTGTAGAAAAAAACACAGAGTAAACTATACAAAAACTATTGTTAACTGCATTCCTTTTTTTCTGCCAGCCTGAGAACAATGCAATCAAAGTTATTCTGGGAATATGTTGAGATGAATATTGCACATGGGAGGGCTGAAAGTATTCTCGTATCCAGTAGCTCTGGTCCACTTAACACATGTTACCATTTAGAAATAGCTTTCATGGTTGAACTGCCACTCCACATGCTGCAACTTATACCATGTGAAATATCATCTCTTTTCATGACAGGCTGTTCACTGCCTTTACATAACCTCAACCTATCCCCACATAACCACCATCAGTGACCACCAGGGGGCAGGCTGATACTCTCATCCCAGCAACAAGGGGTTTCTATCCTCAAACCAATACAAGTCTGAAAAACAGACCTTATAAGTTGTGTAACAGTTTTTTTTTTTTTTTTTAAGTAGACCTATTTGTCGTGTCGTGGGTTTGGGTTTTGAATGGTACTGAAATAGCTCTTCTACCAGAAAGTGACCACTTGTTTCCTGTTCAACCAAGTAGAAAGCCTAAGCTAGCTTAATGTTTGAGTGATGAATGAGTAAAGCGCTCTCGTTGCCTCTTTCCTTTCTTTCCCGCGATTGAGAGGTGATTCGTCTCCTCCACAGCCTCTTATCTGCCTGCCATTGTCTTCTCACCCTCTTTTTGTGTGTGTGATTGTGATTTGTAATCCCTGTCTGCCACCTCAGGCAAATTGGTGGCGATTGCAGTCATCGATGAGAAGGACCCCACAGAGGAGAGTGGCAGGTACAAAGAACACTGAAATTAAAAAGCGTGGTTCAATATAAATTACTCCCACACACTCCCACGCTTACCACTATAGTTGTGCCCAAGTGCACTGCTTTCAAATAAAGATAAGACTTTCTGTTATTGTTTGGATCTTCCCCACAAATTACAGGCTTCAGTCTAAAAACAAAAAGGTTAGACTCCCGACTCATGTGGTGTTTCGCTCTCTTCTCATTTGCTTTTAGATTAAAGACCTTGATTCAGAGGGTGGCGAAGGAATACAGAGAACATTTTAACAGGTAAGGCACGGATACGCCATGAGGTCAAAGATGAATATCCAATTTATACATTTATTCGAGGTTGGCGTGCTCACCGGGGAGCGCCAGCTGTCTATTCACGAGCAAGTTTATGCCTTTGTCGGGGCACGTCTGTTTTGGTTGAGGTTCAGTAGAAAGGTAATTATGCAAAATGTCAGCTTCCAAATATAGGTGTTCTTTTCAGCTGTCAGTCAAAAACTCAGCTCGGTTTGTATTAATGCATAATTTCTGTTTTCTCCGGCTCCAACTGGAGACGGGATGTTTGTGTTGCTCACTGCCTTGTTCGACCTGTTCTTTTACTGGAGAGGAGCCAATTAAACAAGGCTCTGAATACAAAGAGGGAATGCGCTCCAAATGTATAATTTCACAACAGCATTACTGTTATTTTCACCGGACTGGAGAGGTCAGAATAAAAGCTAGTAGGAAACAGATGAGGTAAGAACGCAGCAGGGGTTCACAATATGCCAAAAAATTATATTGCGACTATTTTGACAGGCATTGCGATTGCTATATGAGTTGCGATTTTTGTGGGGATGGTAATTTTTGCACTTCATTATCACCGAAAAAAAGAAAAATGATAATGATGTAGTTTTTGCTGGGGTCTGTACCAAACAAACATGTTCCCTTAGGTTTGGGATATGATTTGTAGGCCGGGGGATCTCTGTAGCTCCACTCTGCTTTGTTTACAATGGCAAAAAATTGCAGCTCCTGCAATTTGAATATTGCACTTGGCCATATTGTGATTTCGATAGTATTTTATGACTTGTTCAGCCCTAGATCGCAGACTCTCAAATGATTTAAAGGTTCAGTGTGTAAGGTTTAGGGGGATTTAGTGGCATCTAGTGGCGAGGCTTACAGATCACACCCAGCTGAAACTTCTTCAGGCTAGGATTTAGGGATGCATGATTATATCGGCACGTCATCAGTATTAGCCGATATCGGTTTTAAAGTTAACTATCAGAATCGGCCAACGTACTTTTTCTTATTTTGTACAATGAATGAATATTATATATATTGACAAGTATTATATTTCATGTCTCCATCTGCTGGTGGGCCATCACGATAAGAGTTTGCCAGCATAATATGACATTAATTCCACTACAGAGGAGACTTATCACTAAAATTAGGCAGGGAAAAAAGTGGATGTATCGATATTGGTATCAGGTATTGGTCAAATGAGTCCATTATCATACATCCCTCCCAGGACTCCTTCAGTGTTCATTGTTCAGGAGGTTTTTACCAGGAGCCGAATTATCAGAGGAGGTCTCTTACTCTCCAAAACAAACGGACCAGGTGATAAGAACTGGTAGAAACACTGAATTATGCAGTTTCACGTTCAAAATCTGTGTTTCTCCAACATTGTTTGGTGTGTCGCAAAAGGGCTGTTTGCCCAGCACCCGCTAATGTGCACCCGCCTTATTTCTGATCTAGACATTCAGGAAGTTTTTACTGGGAGCTAAATTATCCACAGAGGTCTCCTTCTGTCCAAAACAAATGGACTCAGTGATTTAAACTGGTAAAAACACAGAATAAAGCAGTTTCAGGTTTTAAAAAAAGTTTGTTTTTTGTTTTTGCCAATGCTGCTCATTGTGGAGGGGCTGACGTGTTAGTGTTTTGTTTGTCCTTTCTGGGCTACCGTAGAAACATGGCAGTGCAACATGGTGATCCCTGTGTTGATACAAACAGCTCATTGTAAGGTAATGAAAGCACAATGATTCAGGATTTCAGGTGAATATACACTGAAGGAAACATACTTATTGTATTCCATTTCTGCCAGTATATCCCCCTAAATCCCACACACTGGACCTGTAACATGGGACCCCTGAAACAATTGCTGCATGTGTGCAGCAGGATGATTTAGTGAGTACAGTAGGTAGGTCATCCTTTAACTGGAGGACCCAGGTTAAAGCGAACATGCTTAGCTCAAGTGGCTTGAATTCAAATCAGCTCTAAGGTCGCTGTTCTGTAGCTGACCCTTATCTCTGATCGCTCCCAGCAGGGCGGCAGGCGACAAGAGGATTTCCTCAAAAGGATTAAAAAGAAAAAATGTATTACATTTTCATCATTATGTTGCGCTTAGGTTCCTCACTGCACCCCGTCATTGACCATGTTGCTTCATCACATGGATTTCTGCTTTTCATTGAAGAGGTGTATCTCAGACCGCCATGATCAAAGTGTGTTTCCCACTCCGAGCATTCCCATTAGGACTGATTGAATTACACAGATTCCTATCATCAGTTAGACTGCTATCCGCCGCATTACTCTGTGCTGTGTTTTTTTTTTTTTTTTTAAGACTTTAGAGTTTTAGAAACCCCACTGAGATCAGAGCTGCCTGCAGTGTTCTGACACACCTAAACGGTACTTGTAATTACAAGTTGCGGGCTCGAGCGACGCCCCCGTTGGTGGGCGGTGACAGTGCGCAGACTATAGATCATAGGTGATGAGTGACATTTGAATGAGCTGACGCCGTTTGAAGCAGTAATAAATGTGGTGGTGTTCAGCTCACCCACCAGTTGTAGCATTTTGACAGCACAATGAATGCAGATCTGAGTGGAACTAGTCTGTGTGTAGGGGGGGAGAAAGGCACATGCCTACATGTGGCAAATTGCACTTGTGGGAAAGTCTGATTTCGTCAGTTAGTGGGTGTGTGTCAGGCTGAAATTCAGCACCAGTTATTATTGTCTTGGCTTTTATGTGCCAGTTGCTGCACAGAGATTTCGTGAAACAAAGCCAGACAAGAAACCTCTTCAAAAAGAGCTTCTTCACAAACTGAAACCTTTGACTTACTGTCCATAAACGGCCCTTGACTGTTGAGGCTTCAGATAGTATGCAGTAGGAATACACTGATTGTGAAATTCTGGGCGATTTTGATTTTCAAAATAACAATTTGGCCGATAGCCAATGCCAATATCGATTTTTTTTTTTTTATTTTTTATCGTTGTTTATTTATCATACAGTGTGCCTCCTCTTCTAAAAATATTGATAAAAAGAAAAAAATCACTGCTACATCACTGCCTGCCTACTTCTTAGTAAGATGCATGTTTTTCTTTACAAAGATCAGCATGTCTGCCCAGCTGCAGCTCAGTCTATTTGTCTTCTCATCCAGGGTATGAGACGCAGAGGGATACTTTGCCTTTTCTTTGTCGGGATGTGGGGAGAGTGTGCACATGAACGGTGTCAGGTTTCCCCACTGTGCTGGAGCAAAAATACGTATCATTTCAAGTCATAGATTGTGTGTTTTGTGTCCTCTGACAGACAAACAGGGAGCTTCAGGAGCTGGTAACATGTGGTTCATCTGCACACACTACCCTCAGTATGGTGACACATACCTGCTTAAATATTGGTGAAACACTCTTTAAACAGTTGCTCACTGAGGGCATATGTGAAAAAGAAACCACTTGTTCTGCATGGCACCCGTTTCCATCTAATGTCAGGCCAGAGACGGTCCAGCCAGCAGTTTCGCTTTTTCCGAATCAGCAGCTGGGTATGCTAGCTACTGCTGTCACTGCAAATAACCGACGCAACATTGAGCTTGCGCAAAATTTACATGAGACTACAGATAAACATCAGCCAGTGCCATCTGTGAACAAGGTGAATATTTGCCAATACTGTTGTTCAGCCGATAAATGGGTACCTACCTCTTGAAAGGCAATTAGATGTTGAGCAACATTTTTAACATTTAAAATGTCTTGAAGCTGCACTAATCAAAATGTTTATGTTTGAAATTGATTAAATTTGTATTGTGAGAGATGTCACTCTTAATCTTACTGATCAGTAGGTTCTGCAGTTTGCCTCGACTCAAGCTTTGAAGTGTCTTTCAGCTCATTGTTTTGGCTCAGTCTCAGCACCCACTGTTGCCAGACGCAGCAGTGAGCTGTTTTCAGCCAAACAGCTCTCATAAATCCACTGTATGCTACCTGCTCAGCACTACATTGCAGATATAGTTAGAGACTAGCTGGTGAGCATAGAGGAGCATTAAGCAGCTAAAGAGCCAGATATTCGATGGGTGAAGGCCAAAATTAAAAGCTACAATTAAAAGCTAAATGAATGCTAATATAAAACTGTTTTCCTACTTTCCTCATATCAACTTTACAAGGTCACCATTGCATTAACAACTTGTTGTGTTGCAAGTGGCCAAAATAAATCAATAGGTTTAAGAATATATAAAGCCTCTGCCTCAGTGGTAGTATTATGAAAGATGCACAGCATTGCAAGCCAATACTCTGTCAAGGCTCAACTTTTTAACAAAAAATGATGCAATCTGAATAATTTGACAGATGCTTAAATCATATAAAAATATCACACAGGATCGCTTTAAATTTGATGATTTTTAATATTGTATGTGATGATCTGTGATTTAAATCCTGTCCAGTGCACATGTGGGAGGTTTTTCTCCTCATACCCACCATTGTACTCAGTATAGCTCCCAGAATATACTGTTTTTTATATTAATTTCTGTCTGCAAAGATACCTTGTATTTTAAAGGAGACTTATTATACTTTTCCTTCTTTTCTGTCGCTTATTAATCGTGGCCAAAGTTTCAGATAATGACATAAATGTATGTAAAAGTAATCAAAAGCAACAACCTCAGGCTTCAGAGCGTTCTTTGTACTCTGTTTCCAATGATTTTTTTATTTTCAATACAAGCTGACGTAAGCTCCTCACAGATTTCTTTATATGGTCGTCTGTTCCAGGCACGGAACTGCAAGTGTTTATTTTACATACACTGCTACATGTAGCTACATGCTAATGTCAGGAGAAATTGGTTGTTGATGTTGTTAAATTTCTTACCAATTTTGTGTACCAATAAAACATGTCTGGTTGTGTTTTAAAGCTTTTATTGGTGATTCTGGTGAATAGAAAGTGCTGCTATTCTCCCATACTGCCACTCCCCAGCTGAAGTGAAGCTGCACAAATGCCAAGATTCAAAAGACGCGGAAACGCTGACCAATCAGAACAGACAGCTTTTTCAGGAGGGTGGCTTATAGAGACAGTCACCAAAACAGAGCATCTTAGACAGAGGGTGAATACAGGTGATCTAGCACAGACAGTATAAGGAAAATAAAGTGTGTTTTTTTATGTATGTATATTTTTTAAGTATGGCTGCCCCTGACTAAGAATTTTCCTAGTCCACCAATAGTCATCATTTAGGGCCAATAGTTGACTAGTCACCTGCATTTTTATGATATTAATTTAGTCATTCAATTATATATTTTGGGCGGGGCAACTCAATGGTTTGAGTTGAAGGTGTGAGAAAGAATAGTATCAGTAACATTGTTAGCACTGTGCTACATTACAGAGAAATACAAAACCATACTAATGAACCTTCATTAATATAGGCCTATATTTTATCTACAAGTGCACGTCACACACTGAGCGAGCTGCCTGTTAATGACACTGTTGGCAAAGCAGTAATGATTGTGCTAAGTGGCTAATGGGCATGTAGCTACTTCCATGTTTCAGATGATACGTCATGTTTGTAGTCGACCAATGAAGATGAGTTTACATATCATCTTGGGTTCGTACTTCACCTTCTCAAAATGATCCCACAGTCTGGATTTCCTGCCCAACATGTTCTTCTTCCAGGTGCTGTTTGTAAGTGTGAAGCTTACAAATATACAAATACAGGTGTAAAGCTGAAAATGAGCACAATAAGCCCCCTTTAATATAACGTGTTGATCTGTGATTTAAATCCTGTTTAAAGTTTATATGTGGGAGATTTTTCTTCCTATACCCACCATATTATTTATCATAATTCCAAAAACATACTGTTTTTTTATATAATCATGGGTTGTTGATAATTAATTCCTGTCTGCACAGAAACCTTGTGTTTTTATAGTTTATCTCTGAGAGCTTAAAGCCTGCTGGTGGTAAGCGTGACGTGATGTTACTGTGGAATTTTCTTGTGTATTACAAACCACCGGCTGGTATTTGGAAATAGCTGTTCACCCCCACATCCCTTCCCTGGAACATTAATGCTGTGGGAATAGGCTTCAGAAAACATTCTTCTCTTCATGAGAAACACATGACATTAAAGATAACGCCAATAAATATCACCTTCAGTTAGAAAAATTCCCTAAGTAACCGACACTTGCACATTTCCAGAGGGAAACGTTTAGCCAAATATCCAACTTTTATGGACAAATCAAAGTATTTACCAGAAATAGTCCTTGCTCCAGGCGTCCTCTCTCACATGCAAGTTTCTCAGTTAGTTACTCACCCCGCTTGGCTGGTCTGCTCAGCAGTCTGGCTAGGAAGTGTCAATGGGAGTGGGAGGGAAGACGGACATACACGAGAAATGGACCTTTAAATATTGATGATAAAGTAAAAAAGAATTTAATTTCCATGATCTCGTACTCCTCCCATCAGTTTGCTCAAACTATTTCTGATCTGTAACTCACACTACGGCAGCTCTCAGAGCCAAAGTTACAGACTGACTTTTTGATGAGCTTTATTCCCAGTTTGGCCGACTATTGTCAGCAATATCATCACTAACACAGACTGATTTTTTTTATTGCATCCACCGAATTTATTATGTAGTCCAGTCTCTTCATAATCATGTCATTGATATAAGCGCAGGCAGTATTGTGTAGCGCCCAGGGGACAAACGCGCAAGATGTGGCTATGATTCAAAATGAATATAATATATATGTAGAGGCCCACATAATCAGTCATTCAGCGGAAGTCACTGGCTTTCCTGGACCTGTGCAACCCCCCCCTATCCGAGTCTACCCACAGTACACTCTGCTCAGACATAGTGCAGCACAATGAGATACAAATTGAATTCCTCCTCCTGCCTTATCGTTTAGATAAATCACCTGAGTCTTCTGTGGTGGAAAAGATGAGGAAACAGGAGACAGCACAGGACAGAGCTTTGGGGATTTCTTTTCTTTTTTTTTTCAGCACTGACAAAATCCCAGGTTTCCATAGCGAAAACATGCAATTGCATTCAATGTGTTTCCATATTTGTGCGGGAAAGTTGTCGTCCCAGTTTTGTGCAGCCCACTGAGACAGCACAATGTGCTCATTTTGCTCTATTGTATGTTGTTTTTGATGCACTGTTTCGATTTCTCATGCCACTGATTTGTCTTACATCTCCAGGGACTTCCAGTTTGGCCACATGGACGGGAATGACTACATTAACAGCCTCATTATGGGGTGAGTGTCACAAATCCAGCCTGCCTCTCTCTTCTCATGTCATCCTCCTTTTTCTCCACCTCGTATTACCTTCTGTCAGCTACTTATCCAGGTCTGGACTGACTTGTAATGCCAGCCTCTGCCATTAAGGATGCTCTCTTGTGGAGAAGTCAATTACACAGACAGACTGTCATTTCTTTTTTAGTGCGCTTGGAAACTTCAACCCCCCACCATCATGCACACATGAAAAAGCACACAAGTTCCTGCAAATCTGCTTGCGCGAAGGCAAGAGGAGTATAAGTGGAATTTACGGATAAGGCCATGCATGGATTAAACCTATAGTGGTCATGTGTTTTAATAGCTTGTCAAAGAGCAGCGCTAATGATGCAGAGAGCCTTGCTGCAGTAGCTTTGCACCCAAGCCTACTGCTGCCGTGTCGTGCTCGGAGAGGCCCGCAACTGACATCCCACACTTTTAATTAGAACCCCGCTAGTGTTACAGGCCAGCGGGGCTGTAGCAGTTGGCGTGTCTGTTTTGTATCTAGCAGTGTACAGTATCTAATTATGTGTGTCTTTGTATAATGTTGTGAGCGCTAGTGTGAGAATCTGCAAGCGTAATAGGCCGCTGCAGGATGTTATTTTGATTTGAGCACATTATTGTTTGTACGAGGGAGATTATAGCAGACATGGTCTCCTAAGTCCTGCGTAATTAAAAGTGTGTCGGTGAGTACAGTAGAGGTGGTATTGGAAATATGATGACATTCACACAACAGGCTCCTGGTAGCACGGCTGAAATTAGACAGGCAGCGTTTATATTTAAGGATAAAAGAGGTGATTAGCCTTCCTAATTTTGTATGAGTGGATACAATATGTATCTGCTGGGTTTTTACGGGCCTGAATTTGGCCGCTGTAGCACGGGATTAATTGCCCTCCTTTGAGGAATGAAATCCTGGCCTGTCAATGTCCACTAATTCTCTCCCTTAGGAGAGCCATGGAAATAAATCTGATGGCTTTTTATCCCTCTTTCTGTCATCACAGCGATTACTGTGTTCTGGCAGCGGTCTGTCTGGCGTAAGGCTGCCCCTGCTTTCACTAGAGGCACATAGACACACTCATGAACACACACACATACACCATGAGCACCACTCTGAGCCCGAGGCTGTCTCTGCCTCTGTTTAAACGTAGGATTATCGCTAACCCCTTATATGGAACACATTGTGGCTGTGAAAAACTTAAAGAGATGTGAGGTGACTGAAAAGTCTGTATGTGAAGGGAACACTTGCAATCATAGAAGGTGAATGGTTAGAAAGGTTATTACCACACTAACCAGCCATTTGATTTTTACACTAAAGATTTATTGAACCTCTGTCAGCGAGTGACAATGAAAGTCTCAGCTCACGCACAAATAAAGTCGATTTCCATTAAATTCTATCATTCTGCTGTTTTCAACTTTTTAATGTCTTTATCAACAAATACCTATTTTTTTTTTTTTAATCGATTGATTGTCATGCAGTTTTTATGTCCCCATGCATCTCAGATGTACATTTCCTGGACACACTGTGATAATCATTAGCACAGTTTACAGTTAGTGTTTTTAATTAGTCCTCCTGCAGTAATTAAAGCTTAAGAAATGCCTCCGGTAACACAAAGTGAAAAGGAAACTTGGGGAAAAAACGAACTAATGAACTGCAGATAATGAGCCAGAGTCCCACCAAAAAAAAAAAAAACAACACAAAAAAACTCAAAATGGGTAAACTACTGATTGTTTGGAATGCAAATGGTATTTTTAAAATCCAGCTTGCACCTGGATTTTAATTCATTTTTTATTTGTTTATTTATCTTGTATGAGGAATAATTTTAACATTTAGTTTTCTTGCTGAGAGTTAGGTGAGAAGATCAACACCACTCCATCTCTCTGTTTTAGATATGGAGCTAAAGCCAGGCTTTAGTTTAACACAACATGTTTGCGAGGACCTTGTTTCACCATGCCACTTCCCTTAAAACCACAGACTCTCTTCCTGCACAATGTAGTGTGCCATTTTACGCACTACACATCTGTTTACTTCCTGTCAACTTTGCAGTAACATTACCTTTCCTCCGCCTCTAGTGATCACAGTGCATTTTCATTCCTAAGTTAGTGACTTAATTTCTCAAAGTTAGCTTTGTAAACATGAAAACTGAAAGTATTTGTTGTTTGTTTTGGTATATAGCGTTTTTGATAACCACTTAAGTGTCTTAGATGATAACTGTTAGCAGTGTTAGCTAGTCACTCAGTGTAGCGCCTTTTATAAACTGCAAATTATGTTGCCATAACAAAAACTTTGTCAACATCTGTATTATCTAATAAGATGATAAAACAAATTGATATTTGGCATCCTTGTAATGATACGATATCACCAAGCAAAAATACTGCCATACTTTGCTGTATTGATTATTTCCCCACCCCTAGACCGATAAAAAAACATTTAAAAAAATGTACTTACTAGAAAAACTGAACATCCGACTACTTAGGGTGCTTTCACACCTGCCATGTTTGGTTCAGTTCAATAGAGCTCAAGTTTGTTTGCGCCCTAAGTACAGTTCATTTGTGGTGAGAACGTGTTCCGACCTTGATCCAGAGAAACTGCAGTCACATGACACGTTGTTTGGGTTAAACATGAGCATGTTACAGTCCTGGAGGATTATTAATATGCACCTCCTCCTGTACTGCCTTAATATGCACATTCAGCACATCCAATGTATCAAAACATTGTTTTCTAGTTGGAGTTGTGCCTCGTTTTCAAACTGTATGGTTTGACTAAAATGAACAATGACAGCAATATAGTCCACGATGAGCAGCGTTAAAATCAACCTGCGTAGTTGTCCCTCCATTGTGACATTAGAAAGTGTCACATTTATTTTTGTTTTGTTTACTTCCTGGATTTTTCCTGCATGGAAATTCTGACCAATCAAGAGCAGCTTTCTCACACAAGGCATTTTATCTGGTCCACTTGTAAATGTTGCCTTGAGAACACGAACCAACTCTAGGCAATTATACAACTTTGTAACAAAGTTATACCCTGATTCAGTCCAAAGCAAGACAACTCTAGGTCTGAAAGCACCCTAAAAGGGTCTTTTAGTAAAACCAAATGCTGAACAAGACTTTTTAGGCGACCAAAATATTACAGTTAACTTTTATGAACTGAACACACTGAAATAGCTTTGGCTATGCCCATATTCTGAATCTGGGGTTACACCACGTAACGCTACCTAATCAATCTTGTTGCTGTCAGCTAACGGCACCCACCTGTCACTCAAAGACTTAACAATTTAACAGGCGAGTTATTTAAAAAAAATACCCCCCATACAGTTGTCATGAATGGGGAAATTAGTCATAGAGACCAAGACCATTTGTTTATTTCTGCGTAAAGTTGGGCATTTTAATGTAGGGTCTATGGATATTGACTGAAACCGGCCCAAGTGGCCATTTGAGGAGCTATAGGAACTACTTTGGCACTTCTGGGTTAGCTTCATTTTTTCAGCCCTGGAGGTTGCGGCTTGGTATTTACCTAAATGTCAAACTGTTCCTTTAATAATCCAAATAAACATGGATAAAATTCCTCCTGTAATAAAACAACAATTAGCCCTAATTGTACAGTATTGCAGCTGTATTTGGCATCGGAAAAGGAAATGGCTTAAATGTGTGTTTTCTGCCAGCTCTAATTCTATAGAGAACAGTATATGACCCTTCATTATGGGCGGCAAACCCCCAGTAGTCTCCACTCACAGAGGTGAATAGGCTAATCCATATTTATTTTAAATGGGTGCCATCTGTTGGAGTAGGCTGGATGTCAGATGGACTACACACTCACAGTGTGCGTGTGTGTTCATGTGATTGCAGATCTCAGCTGGAGAGAGTAGTGAGGTGTTGATCACTCTACCACGCGGGCGTGTGTGTGTGTGTGTGTGTGTGTGTGTGTGCGTGCGTGTGTGTTTGCACTCCTGATCTCAGCTGGGTGGTGGATTGGGACAGTGATGGATACGTGTGCATGTGTGTGCAATTTGTTGCCGGATTGAGTAACACTGCGGGGATGTGAGGTGGCAGCGCTCTGATGGACTGTTCGTGTGCCTGTGTGTGTGTCTAAGCACCAGGATACCTTATCTAAGCCAGGGTTTGGTGTTGTGCGAGACGTGTGAAAGAGGGATTGCTTGTTTATATGACCTTGTTCGTTATCTCGCTGAGTTTTGTAATTCCTCTGCTGATTTGTTGAAAAAAAGTGGGCTGTAGAGCGTGCAGTGTCTGTGTCTCTGTTTCTGGGTTTTCTGAAGGAAATGTGGCAACATCACTGGACTACTGGGCTTCTTTGTGTATGTTTTGTGTATGTCTCAGCATGGATGCTGAGGTGCTTTCCTCTGGGCTCCCTGCGATTCACTTGTCAGCTCTAATTTGTGAAGGTCTCCTTAACTGTGACCGGCACAGACTCATAAAACCTCTCAAATTCACAAAAGGACTGTGCGGCTTCTGCAGCCGCTAAACCCACACAAACAGACAAAAACAAAACTGTGTAATTCTCAATGCACCTGCAAAGTGTGAATTGCGCTGCCAAGCAAATAGCATCTCAGAGCCTTTGTGCTTCTTTCACATGTTGCTATTTGGTAATATGCATAGCTCTGGCACCAAATTGGCCCTTTTCTCTGCAAATGAGCACCAATGCAAAAACAGTTCAATTCACAAAAACAGCGCTAATTGCCAAACACAGTAACAGTGAAATTATTAGCGTCTTCAGAGAGTTGGTGGTAACTGAAGCACAGAATGGGATATAAATCCCAATTATGGTTTCTCTCTGTCACATTTAAATTCCTTGCCTGAAGTTTTGAGGATTGCCTCTGCACCTCGTAGGTGTGTCACAATACCAGAAATTTAGTAGTCGATACCAGTACCAAGGAAATTCCATGATTCTCAATACCCAATTGGATACCATGATGAAAAACAAATGAATGAACAAAAAAATCCTAAATCCCATTAAAAACATTCAAATTAAATCGCATTTAAATTTTATTGTTAATCTCTGATGATCCAACAGGAACTACTGTCGGTGGGTTCATGAGATTTTGCCGGGGAGGAAATATGAATATATGGCCTACAGTATATTAACATATTTTTCCTCTCTTGTTGTTCAGCACTTGTACATGTAAGATGTGACAACTGGTCTTTGTTGTATTTGCCCCACCCCTCCTCCACTGTGTTTGGATGGCTGGGTCAAAAGTGGTGACTTTGATTCAGGACCCAGCAACTCTGCTACCCGGATGTCTCACTCTGTACAACTGGAAGTCTTCTTCTTCCTTCGGCATTTAACAGCAGACTAGAACACTTAAAGACGTATACACTGACCTGTCAGGTCCAAAAGAAGTGCATCCCCAGTACCTATGGTGCAGATGAAAATGTAAGTGCTGTCACATTTTCAGAATTTAGGCATCAACTTGTTACCAGAGTACCTGTTCTCATGACATCCCTTAACCTGAGTGTCAGACTGAAGCTCCCAGAACCTTCAGTCTGACATGGCTTCCATTGAAGGCGATTTACAAGGGGGAGGGAATTTGATTTTTCCCTAACCAATCAGTAGAGATCAACGACTCACCCAGAATCTGACGTCATTAGTATCCATGCCTCAGGGGTGCCGAAAACAAGCAAGCATTGCCCGTTTAAAATGTCTCCGTCGTCGTGCGCGCCCAGCTGCATCGCCGTTAAATCCAGTTTAGCAGCTTCCTTAATTTGGTCCTCCATTAACGCGAGTAGTGGCGAAATACCTTGATAGCAACGTTAATGTGGTCTGTAGGATCTGTAGTGGTCGCCATTGTTGCTATCCTCACCAGTTACCCACTGGCGCACAGCTTGACATCAGCGTGGCGCTGATTGGCTAATCGCTAGACCCGTCCCCACCCCCTGCGTTTATTGGTCCTTCCATTGTTTGGATTTTATAAATTTCTAATTCATTGCAGTATGCCAGACCAGAGATGCAAGCCTACTCAGTTGAGTGGGCGGGGTCTATGGTCTGGAACCAGGCTAGACATCCCTACCTTGTCAGTCAGGACCTGTAGCTGGCAGTCTGAAAATTTTAATTTTCTTTATCTCTCTGTCATTGTTCTGTCCGCTGTGTTCTTGGCACATAGGCAACATTCATACTTTGCCACATGGATAATTGCATCTGACACAACAAAAGGGCAATTTGCACTCAGCTGCAAAACTTTGTCTTTGTTTTGTGTCGTGTTTGTGCTGTAATAAAAGCAGCACAATATCTTTTGTGAATTGGACCTTGAGACGGGGCAGATAGCTGTTGCAGGTGATGTGCAAATCACTGTACTGTGCAATCCATTCGCCTTTGTATGCATGACAGAAAGACAGGGTGTGTATGGGTCCTTAAAAAGTTTCAGATGTGTTCAGTTTTATAAATCGTAGGCCTCAAAAGTCATTAAACAGTATATTTTATCTAATTTCATTTATCTGTCTTTTAATTTATTTGGGCGAGCCCCTACTGGTATCACCCTGGCTCGAACACTGTGACAAAAAGGTAAAAGCACATTTATTAAAACAGAGCATGAAAATACCAAACAAAACACCAAAGAAACCAAGTGTTGTCATGAGCCTGGCCAGGGTGAGGAAATCTCCCCCAGAGAGAGAGACCGGGACTGTCAAAGCAAGGAAGTGTTTATGGTGGAGAACACACTGGGCCCAGGTGTGGCTTATTCGACTGATGACTCTCCTTTCAGCTCCTGCAACACAACCAGAGCAGCACACAGCAACAGAGCAACCTGGTGCATGGGAGGAGGGGTGTAACATTGTCAAAATGAGTCAAGCTCTTCTGTGTGAAGTCCACATTACTTACGTTACAAATCTTTAAACCTGCCACTGAAACTAATGCTGTCTTTTTACTTTATACTTGCACTTACCTGTTGGCTAAATGTAGGTTAACCTAACTCACTCTCCATATTCCTGCATAAAACCTACCTCTGCACAAGACTACATTTATACTGAGCTGCACTACTTGAATAAGAAAAAAAAGCTTTGTCCAAAAAGTATTTTTTTATATCTTGATAAGGTCTTAAAAAGCATTAATTTGAAGCATCTGATACCTGTAGACACCGTGTGAGAAGAAGTGCCAATCTAAAATAGGCCAGGCTGCATCGCCTTTTCCTCAGAAAAGAAATCCTCTCTTTGAAATGATGCCCATGGGAAAAGTTAGGTTGCTCTGAGCACAAAGGGTTTGTTTATCTCACTATTGTATTCTGTGTTACAATTTGTTCTTAAAGAAACCGCAATTTGTTCCCATCTAATGATGCACTTTGATAATGGCAGTCCTAGATGCCGAGGTTAAGAAGATTAAACACTGTGTTTCCTATTTTTCTCAGGGAGGTGACGGTGCCCTCCGTTATCATCCTCAACACATCCAACGAGCAGTACTTCCTGCCCAGTGAGCCGATCGAGACCATGGAGCAGCTGGTCCAATTCATCAACAGCGTTTTGAACGGTTCTGCGCAGGTCCAAATCCTTTCCTCTTCCTTACCCCTCGTCTCCCTCTCCTGCTTCCTCTTTAAGCATTCAGCTCAGTGGAGCCCTTTCCCCTCCCTTCCCCCTGTGTTGTATTGTTGTAATCATACCAGTAGTCTTCATTAATCAACCACATTGCTTTGCATTTTAAGTCCTCCCTGGAAATTTTTTTTTTTTTACCAGATGAGGTATTTTCGCAATCTTCTTTTGCATGTTTAGATTTGGTATTGCTGTCCTCCCTGAATGGATTATCTGCAATAATTCTTCTCCAAGTCAAACACTGAGATTACTACATGACTCTGTATTGTAGTGTACACTCTAATCTGGGAAAAGAAATGTCATCGCTTTCCCTGCTAGTCACCAGATGTATGAACCCATAAGCCAAACAGCCAGAGGTCCTGTCCTTTTTTTTCCAGGAAAGGTCTGGACTATTTTTCGCTTGGCAAAACAAACCACCTCCCACCAAATAAACAGAAACAGAAACCTCCATGTTTCTGCTGTCCAGTCGCTGCCAAAGCTTGGACAGCTTCAGCGTCTTCACATCATGCTGGTAATATCTCCCATGAAGTGTCTTGAGGCTGGTTTCTGCTTCATGTGGAAATACACAAAATAATGTGTTAAATTCACTGAAGTAACAATAGTTACTGTTCGATTTCAGCGGTCTCCTCTTAGTCTTTTTTTCTTTTTAGACGGGGAATGCGGAGAGCTGGATTTTTTTCCCCAAGCATAACTAAAAATTCTTGAATGTTGGAGTGTTTTTCATAAGAAGTATGCACATTAAGGTACACAGACAGCGTGTTTAGCCTTGCATGAAGCATGAATCAGCCAGAGGAGGACAGAGTTGGCAGGCTGTGGAATTCACAAGCAGATTTTTAGGGAATTGCGAAATTTTTTAAGTATCTCCCCACTCACTACATAGGCTCTAACACCATGCCATAACAGTGTTTGTTAAAACTTCTCAAACTACTTATGCAGTCCTCACACAGCATAAACATAACTCTGTGCAACAGCTGCTTCCACAGAAATCCTCCCATGCCCACTTTCAGCTCGTTCACAGAAGTCCTGCTCAGTCAGAGCTTGCTAATTGGCCATCCTGATGAATTAGCGTCGGGACAGATCACTCATTGGCTGGCCAGGTGCTGTTGCCAACAAATGAGCTCAGACTGAGTAGAACTGCTGGACAGTGAACAAACCAGAGTCGGGCACATCTGATCATTTGTGCAGAGAAGCAGTTAATTAAACAATATTTTAAATGTCTAGAAGGTACTGACCATGTGACTGGATACACTGGACTTATATAACTGTGAGTGCATACTGCAGGAGTAGTTTGAGAAGTTTTTTACTGACAAGGATTGTCCGCAAGTAATTGCATCAAATTATATAATTGTAAACAATTAGAATGAACTAGATGCAGTAGCTCATCTGTCCCTGTTAAATGATCTGTCTCCTTGCAGGCGTATGGAGGTGATGGCTTCATTCAGAGGATCAAACGTGTGGCATTTGATGCAAGATCCACCATTATGGTAAGTTCACTGCTGCTACATGTAGACAGTCGGAAAACAGTTTTTTTTTATTCAGAAAGGTCTAAAGAAAAGTCCACTTTAGATTCATGACCTGTTCTCAAACAGCAGATATGTTTGAGCCTGTGTTTTTATAATGATGAATCGCTTTGTCCTCGTCAGTTGACAACACGAGCCACCTGATCCTAATTAGCATAGGTAAATATCCCGTCAGTCCACATAAAAGGGCGTGAGACTGCAGGGCTGAAACCAAGACTGAAAAGCAAAGTTGAGAGAATGAATGTCAAGACTGCCCAAAACAAAATCTAGAGGATGGAGCGACAGACTCCAGACATAAAACATTTTTTTTAAGTAGTTCTGAGGTGGAGGTACTTCTGCAGGAAATGAACATCAAAGAGCTGTCATATTTAGTAGCATTAGCAGGGAATGTAAAAAATACAAAAAAATGATGCATGGGATGCTATTACTTGCTGTATGTGGATAAGGGCATACTGTATAACTTAAAAAAATTTAAAAATGTAGAAAATTAGATATCAAATCCGACACCAAATTTTTTTAAATTAACACATATGAGAGACGCTGACAACTGGAGGGCAACAGGCTTGGCTGTCACTCCCTGCAAATAGATCTACATTCTCCGGGAAGATGCGTTCCATCCTCAGGGCACAATCTGCAACATCTTGCAGCAGCAGAAGATAAACCATTTGGCGAGTAAACCTAGGATGCAGAAATAGGCCCACGTCAGGCCTATAAATAGCATGGCTGATCATGAATTATTGGGTGGCATGGTTCCCAATAAACATAACTAGTTTTAATTTTAAAAGAGCTGCAGCAGTTTGAAGTATAAAAAGAAAGAGTTTCAGACCTGTATCAGGAAAGTCAGAGCTAGTTAAAGGCTAAAGTGAACAGATATGTTTCTAGCTTTCTTTTAAAAATATTTAGCGAGCTAGCCTCCCTGATATCTAAAGGCAGTGTGTTCCATAGCTTTGGGGTGTCACTGACAAAGGCTGCATCCCTGATCTTCTTTCGGCTGTTTCTGGGAACCTCCAATAAACCAGCAGCAGATGATCGCAGTGTTCTTGGAGGTAAATAGGTAACAAGAGAATTAGCAATGTAGCTCAGTCCCAGCCCATGTAGGCCTTTGTATACAAGGAGGACGACCTTAAAATCAATTCTAAATGTAACAGGAAGCCAGTGCAGAGCAGCTAAGACTGACCTGATGTGATCTCTCCTCTTGGTTCTGGTTAATAGCCGAGTCTGTCAGTGGTGTTTTTTTGAGAGGCCAGTAAAAAGTGCATTACGGTAGTCAAGGCTGCTTGAAATAAAGGCATGAATCAATTTCTCTGCGTCTTTTTCAGTTAGAAATGGTCATACCTTAACTATTTTCGTCACCTTGTTAATGTGGGACTTGAAGATCTGAATCAAGGATCACACCAAGACTTGAAACCTTAGATTTAAAGGAGCTATATATAAGAAATCTAAAGCAAATAGTCGTAAAATCATCCTAATATGTCACAGAGACTAAGGAATAATGTTCCTTTAACATTCTGATCTCACCGACAACAATAGTACAGCCAGAATATTCGCATTTAAAGGGAAATTTCGGCTTATTTCAACCCGTCTCCTATCGTCCTAAATTTGTTTCAAGTGACTAGTGACATAGAAATAATAGTTAGCATGTTAGCCGTTAGCCTAGATACAGCCGTAGCATCAGACCTGTTAAAACGTAAGTGAACGGGCAACCCTTCAAGTGCAAAGTTAGTCCACTAAACAAGCTTTTTCTCCACAAAGACCGCCTCATATCGTTAGGATAAATGTCAGAGAACATATAGAAAACGACATGTAAACGTGTTGTCTTACCTTACCGGTGTGCTGCCATGTTTGTTGTTTACCATTTAGCTAAGGCTGCAACCGGTCCCATTCCTTGCAACAGAGGTATTCCTTTTCTGTGGGCATTGGGGTACAGCATTCACAGGTAACGTTACACCACCAATCTCCAGAGCTAAAGCCTTCCAGCAGCCATTCCTCCTCTGTCGTCCTCTACCTGTTGTGCCTCTCTCTCTCTCCTCCTCCGTTCTTCAATTTCACAAAGCTCTTCTTCAGTGTAATCTGGCTCAAATAAATAAGGGCGGCCATAAATCAAATTCCTCCTCCACAAAGTCGAAGTCTGGCAAAAAGTCAGCCATTATTCTATAAATCTTTCATAAAATAAATGAATGAACCTTTCAGACTACTGTCCGGTTCTGCCTTGCAGCTGCTGCGGCTTGTTCTCGCGAGATTTCAGGCACGGTATGAGATCACTGCTTGTTCTCGCGATATTTCGGCTGCGCTTTGGGAAGCAGAGGTAAACGGTAAACACACGGTAAGGTAAGACAACAACTCTGAAGACCACCTAAATGTGGAATGTTAGCATATAGGCTTTCCACATCGAGAGGCGATGGCCGCCCTTATTTATTTGAGCCAGAATACACTGACGAAGAGCTTCGTGAAATTGAAGAATGGAGGAGGAGGAAGAGAGAGGCACAACAGGTAGAGGACGACAGAGGAGGAATGGCTGCTGGAAGGATTTAGCTCTGGAGATTGGTGGTGTAACGTTACCTGTGAATGCTGTGCCCCAGTGCCCACAGAAGAGGAATGCCTCTGTTGCAAGGAATGGGACCGGTTGCAGCCTTAGCTAAATGGTAAACAACAAACATGGCACCACACCGGTAAGGTAAGACAACACGTTTACATGTCGTTTTCTATATGTTCTCTGACATTTATCCTAACGATATGAGGCGGTCTTTGTGGAGAAAAAGCTTGTTTAGCATGGCAAGCAGCATTAGCAGTGTCCCGGTACATAGCATTAGCAGCCAGCTTCTCCTCAGCTGTATCCTGGCAGCAGCGTTAGTAGCAGAGAAGCCGGACGTGCTCAAACGGTCCGCTGGAAAACCGAAGATCAAGGACGTGGCAACGCCGCCTGTGGGCAAACAAATCAGTCTCCAGCGTGCCGCTGTCCAGCAACCTCGAATCTGTAGGGGAGGGGGGGGGCGGACACAACTCGCGGCAGTATTTTGAATTTGAGTGCAGTAACCGTTTTGGCCACATTCTTACATACAGCGCCTTTAATTCAGGGAGTTAAATTCTCCATATTTCTCCGGATAATCCTTTATTCATTGTCTATATAAAAATATTGTTTAGTTCACCTTTAAGGTCTGTTTTACATCAGGCTTCCATTATTCATTATCTTCTACCCAGCTTACATACCTCTGTTCCAGCCTTGGTATTTCTTTACCTCTACAATAAAAGCATTCATTATTACACTATGACACATCTTACCACCTTGTACTTGCTGATTCGCTTCACACATTGCCTCACCTTGACTGCCAATTTAGAGTAAATACTGCATACTGCATATGCAACCTGCGCCAAGTTCAGTAGCACTGTAAAACAAATGCCCGAGTGCCCTGCTCTTCCCCTGTAGGAGAAAAACAACATTCAGAGGACAAGACGGGGGAGTGCAACTGAGAATATGCAATGCAGGCAGTAAACACAGTATGTGGAAAGAGAAACAGGCAACAGAGCAGGAGGAGGGGGAGTGATGGGGGAGTAGACAGGGTCAGGAGGCTGAACTTGCTTCTCCTCCCACTTTTACTCTAAGTAGTCGGTTCTTTTAGGGGAACTGGTGTTTATTTTACCATGGGTGTGATAGGAATGCAAATACAGCTGCGTTGTAATGCTCCACTTGTACTGTAACCACGGGTGAAGTTTAACAGTGTCCTTACAGGGATGTAGAGAACTCCTAAAGGAAAATTATAGATTGTATTCAAGGAAACTGTTAAATTGAAGGTATGGAAGTTAACCTTGAGGAATGAAGGAGGGTTTGTCGGAACATTTTCATTTAAGGTTTAACATTTTAGCCGTCAGGTCTGGTTTGACAGTGTAAATCAGTGGAAGAATATAACCTGTCAGGAAAAGATCTTAATGCAAAACAGTTTTTTCTTTGGGCTGTGCAGGAGCAAAGTGTGCAGGATTTTATTTGTTTCTCATTAGCAACTACACCAAAGGAAGAATCCACATGTGAAGAGCTTGTCTTACACCAGTGAGAGAAAGGAAATGGTATTCTCTTTTCCTAAATTTAGCGAGCTGCATGCATCACCATGGCTAGTGTTGCTCACAGTGACACAAGATGATGCAAAGCAGATAGGCGGCAGCCATCACCTTGCCCCTGGAGAGCCTATCTAAATGCACACCTGACAGCAACATGAGGTATTAGGCCCAGTGACTCATAGCCAGCTGTGTTAGCATAGCATACCCATCTCTACCTCATCCCGCATCACACAGCACCAGCAATTACCATCCCTCTTCCTGTGGCAATGACTGCAGGGAACATGAATATTTCTCTTCTGCTCAGCCCAATGGTTGACAGAAGTTGTGACCGAGCACTCCCTTCTAGGTACATTGTCTCTGATGTATCCTGCTATATTAAGGTCAAATGACTCATTTGTAACTGAGATCATTTAAAGAAGAAGTTGTCCTTCAGTGACTCCAGCATTGTTTTGCCCACAGGGATCGTGTTTTGTACCTTGTCACAAAATGTTAAATTTTATATGCAGCTTAATGACATGGGTGTGAATTATGTGTTCTTTTAAGGAATTCTTCACCCCCCAAAATACCGCTTGTACATCAATTTCTCAACCCGTGTTGTTTTGAATTTGTGTAGAAAACATTTTCTTGTTTGCTTCCAGTGAACGAAAAATCCAAAAGCAGAGAAAATTCTTGATGAATTTAATTCATAGTGGTCTGCATTTTAAAAATGACCATTTATTTGTTAATTACTCACCATGTGTTATGCTGAATTCGTAAAGAAAACATTTTTCTTGCATGCCTCGACAGTGAATGAATAATCCAAAAAAAAAAGGGCAAACTTTTACATGAATTGACATAATTGGCCACATTTCACAACAGAAAAACTCTATCGAAATACCTGTTTACAATCACTCACACAGCTCCTGTAGTATAATCCAAGTCTCGTTATCCAGTCAGTAATTCTACCTCACTGAACACAGGAGCTGCTGGTCTACCGCTGCCTTGATCAGTTAATTTGTGTGTTATTGTGTGACTTTGGTGTTTTTAAAGGGTTAATTTGGATTCACCAAAGTCACACAATAACACACAAACAAACTAATCGAGGTGGTGATAAACCAGCAGCTCCCGTGTTCAGTGAGGTAAAATTACTGTTTTTGTCGATGGAGTCTGGCTTTGAATAGAGCATAGATAAGTTTTCCCTTTAGCTCAGTTCCCCATTACAAAGGGCTGTCTGTTTGTGAAGGACTGAGTGTACGACTGGATAAATGAGACTTCGATTATACTGCATGAGTTGTGTGAGAGTTTGTAAATAGATATTATGATATGGGTTTGCTGTTGTTTAACGCCGAACCGTTTGACTTAATCAAGAATTTTTTTCTGTTTTTGGATTCTTCGGTTACTGTAGAGGCATATGAGAAAAGTTTCCTTCCCGACTTCAACACAAGGTAGAGTGAGTAATTCATATACAGACGCTTATTTGGGAAGTGAAGTATTCCTTTAATTACACTTCCTTTTACCAAAAAACTTTTCACTCTAATGTTGTGTTCACACCGAATAAAACAATTTGCGTGGATGAATTACATGTAAAGTCAATGTAAAGACGCGATTAGACTTGAGTTCCCACCAGGCGGCATGATGGACGTGACAAACGTGATGTGAAATACATGAATTAAGCAGCGAATGAAGCGAGTAGTGCAATTTTGCGTCACTTTTTGCGATAGCCAATCAACATTAAGGTCCTCCAGGGACGTACGATGCCAAGGATCTACCGGCAGAAGTTCATTCATAGATTCAGTGATTTCATGTGTGTATGATGAGTTATTCAGGCGTATGAAGCAAGTCAACACAAAATATTCTAGCGTTCAAACTTGAGTTAGTAACATGACACAAAAATAATCTTTGTTTTTGGTGTGAACACAACATAAGGGACCTCTAAGAGTCTGTCACCAAATTATATTGAATCTACAGGGGGTGAAAGAGGACACCCAATAAGAGGAAGTCTAGAAAAGTTAGATTCACTGAAGCACTGTAAGAAAAAAACATGTTGTAATTCACTCTCAAGAGACATTACACTATGTGTGTGCATGCAACCTTTGCACACATGTAGCTACAGTATGTGTTTGAGTTTGTGTGGGTGTGTAGTTATGGGCGGTGAGCCTGTTATAGGAGACGAAGACAGAAAAATAACACAAAATATCTTCAGACAGACTCAAAAGGTGGACCTTTGCTTGTGTTTGAAGTGTGAGATTTCTTTATTTATTTCAGTTCAAACTGAACAATCTGAAAATACAAGCATCCCAAAAGGATTACAGATAAAAGGGTAAATCTCTCCAATGTGGACATCATCGGTGTAAAACAAAACAAAAGCAAACAAGACAACATATTACAAGATACAAACAGTATAACATAACACAGACATCCTAAAATTATATGACAGAAATTTAATTAACACTAAAATATTAAAGCCTTCCCGGGTTTCTGCAAATGATTTGTGACCTGCCTTCTAAACACATCCGCGAGGCTTAATGGCCTAATGCAAATGAATGAATAAATGAATGAATAAAAACGCTGTATCTCTGCTGCAACATTTCCAAATAATATTTTTGAATCTCTGAATAGCATTTTGAATTCACTCTACCTAATAGCTAAAAGTAGGCTTTTTACTTTTGTAAACACTGGCTGCTGAGAGAGATGTAACACTGTTATTAAACAGCCAGACAATCATTCCAGTTTGCTATACTATGTTGAGGAGGCACTGAGAGAAATGACAGAAAGTGACTGTTTGTGCTTGTTGTTTTATGTGTGAACTTAAGAATAAGGTCAGGGCCTGATTAACCCATTAGGAGGTAAAAATGATCTTGTGGCTCCCGCTGAACCCTGATTTATCCAATTTCTTTATGCCTGTGCATGCATCTTCTCTGCCTTTATGTTCCCATCATGAACAGAGCACATGGCAGACGACACAAGGCAGCTTTTTTATATCTTACCCACGAGCCAGTTCCTCTTTGCTAGAATACAACATGTTAGCCTATTTCTATTTGAGGGTGGGATGGGGGGCTTTTTTGTTTCATTTTTAAGTGACATAATTGTCCGACGCAGAGGCCTCTTAGCCGGTTGGCCAACAGGCTGTTCACACAGGAGGTGCAGCAGTCCTGAGCTCGCAGCAATAGTTTTGATGTCTTGTCTATTTTTTCACAAGCTGTGAGCAAATCTGGCAAGTTAAAACTCTGATATTGTATTATGAACGATGTGAAAGATATATTACATATGATTTAATGATCAGATTATGAGAAAGGATAAACCATGAAGCTTTGGATGGTGATTTAGAGGTCTGTAACTCGACAAGGCTTGTGGTAATTTAAATAGATACAAACCTATTAAGGAATCTGCACCATCAATAAATCTCAATTAAATAATAAAATATTAAAACTAGATTTTGACAAATGGAGGCTCCATAAGATTTCAACATTATAGAGCAGCTTAATATCAGTCAAAGATGCAGTGATGCAGTATTGTACATGTGTTGGATGCACCGATACATAACATCACATAGGTGCTCAATTAGATTTAGGTCAGGGGAACGAGAGGGCCAGTCGATGGCATCAATGCCTTCATCATCCAGGAACTGCCTACACACTCTGACCACATGAGGCCGGGCTTTGTCCTACACCAGGAGGAACCCAGGGCACTGCAGCAACATAAGGTCTGACAGTTGCTCTGAGGATTTCATCCTGGTACCTTACAGCACTCAGGGTACCGTTGGCTATGACATGGAGGTCTGTGCAATCCTCCAAGGATATGCCTCCCCAGACCATCACTGACCCACCACCAAACCAGGCATGCTGGATGATAGTACAGGCAGCATAACGTTCACCACGGTGTCTTCAGACTCTTTCATGCCTTTGTGAACCTGCTCTCATCTGTGAAGAGAACAGGGCGTCAGCGGTGGACTTGTCAATTCTGGTGTTCTCTGGTGACTGCCAATCGAGCTGCACGGTGCTGGGTTGTGAGTGACATAATTGTCCAACACAGAGGCTCCCTAGCTGGTTGCTACTAGCAGGTAACCAAGTGTTTTTCATGGTGGTCAAAGGAATACTCAGATTTACACCAGGTTCACAGCAGAGGCGCTAACTGCTTGCTTTTGGCGCCCATTGTAATTTGTTGGGCTGTTCACACAGGAGGCGCAGCAGCTCTGAGCTCCACAATACGCAGCAGTAGTTTTGACGTCTAGTCTATTTTATTTTATTTTTTTAACATTAAAGCATGTAAATATGTTCTCGTAGAAACCCAAAATACAAGTATGAATATAAAAATGAGCATAATAGGTCCACTTTAAGTTACTCTTTGCTGGAATCGCCTTCTGTCTCCTATCACTTCTTATATACTGAGTAAAATTGCAATTAATCACATTTTTACAAACAAATTCATCTGGCCCTGAGGTCTGGTTTGGTAATCCAGACTTGAATAAGACAGAAAAGACAAAGGTTTAGGAAGGGATTCTGAGTGATGTCAGTGTTTGTAGATGGAAATGCTTTTTAACTGTATGTGTATATTTACATCAGGAGCATAGAGGCTTTGAATATAAGTGTGTTCTTTCAGGATATAGAGTAAACAAGCCCAAATCTTTCCTGCAGGACACTTAATTGTGAAAGAAAATCCATATGTTGTCCTTTTTTTGCTGTCCTCATTTGCTCCATTATTTCTATATTTTCCTCAACCCATTCATGTCTGTATACTTTTGTCTCAGTATTCTCTCTCACACTTTCTCCCTTTTGTCTTCCTTTCATCTTTTATTGTCTCCTTTCCTCCATCAGTCAGTGTTTCGCAGCTCTCCTCTGCTGGGCTGCTTCCTCTTCGGCCTACCGCTGGGTGTAATTAGCCTGATGTGCTATGGCATCTGCACAGCTGAGTCGGATGACGGTTCGGATGACATAGACGCGCTCAAGAGGGAGGGCCTGACTGACGAAGAGGACGAAGAGGAGGAGGAGAGGCAACGCGCCGCTGAGCTGGAGGGCCCCGAAGAGGGCGAGAACGAGGAAGGCGACGCTGGAGAGAAGGATCCCGAGGAGAAGAAAACCGATTAACACAGGGGCACCCGCCGGATAGAGGATGATAGGCCTAGTCAAATGCAGTGACATGAAACTCAAAGACATATCAATGTATTCTGCTTCTTTGTCTTTCATATCACTTCTCCCTCAAAGCCCCTCGAGCACAGACTGTTGTTCCATCTCAAAGTTCTGTGTTTAAGGTCAGCTGCTCAGCGAAGCCATCGTTTGAAACTAACAGCCTTTTTAATGATGGAGCGTGAACACATAATGATCACGAGGAGAAGGGATGGCTGTGAACCAAACAAACCACTTATTTATTATGATTCGACCAACGAGTGGTTTATTCCATGTGATGTTACCCTTTCTCTCGTTGTTTTGTAGCCACTAAAATGTTCCGATTATAGCTTCTTCTTCTTCTTTTTTGTCATATCCCGATCTCTTCTGTTTTTCTGTTTGATTCCACTATGATATCCTAGACTAGTAGAAAACAGATCAATCTTGCCTTCAAACCGAATACAACATGAACACACACAGTCATTTTGTCCGCCTCGACCCCCAACCCAAAGTGTAGGCTTGTCATGGATTGTGACTGACGTGCAGAAAGCAAAGGAAGTGCCCAAGAAGGAAAATCTGCCATAACTGAATTGTGCTTTTTTTATTGTATGTTATTGCCTGAAAATATTTCTTCTTCTAGAGGTGCAAAGTGCCGAGACTGTTGTGCATTTCTTCTCATTTTATGCCAGCCACCTGCTGATGAAAAAAGCTCGAGTGATAATTGGTGTCTGATACCAGAACATGGCAAATGCACTCTTTTTTTCATTTCAACCCAACATGACCAACCTGCATAAAATTCCTAGTACAGATTGGTTGTACCTGTACAGCAGACACCCATAACATGCATCAGTAGTTCCTGCAGCTTTTAACAACTCATATTCCTCAGATAAACTGGCTGCGTCTGTTTCCATATTTCAATCTGCCCTCCATCTCTGGTTGCTATATTGAATCCAGCAGGCAGGTTGAAGTTTAAATCCTGATGCACTGAGATGTACACTGAGCGTAGAAGACATTAAGCCAGTCCTCCTCCTGCTTAGTTTCCCCTCTTTTTTCTGCCATAATCCACTAGTGTTGGTTTTCTAATAGAGGAGACATTCATCTCTATCCTATTTTCATACCCTCACGACTAAAGTGTATATAATAGCTGAAGTCAAGTAGAGGCTATGACTTCCTCTTGCATTCGAGTGGCCAGCCTATTTCATGAAAAAGAGCAGGTGTTCCTAAAGTCTGTTACACCCAGTGTAATACTATTTTTATGAGAATTGCACACTAGAGTGCACCTTGTTGGATTGGGGCATATTAAAGCATCTGAAAAACATTTCATTATCTTCAAAATTGAATATTTGTGACTGAAGATGGAAAAAAATAAAGATAAAGCCCTTAACACTCCAGAACTCAGGATGTAATTTTGAGATTTGATTCACAGTGGTGTTTCTGTGGCAACAAAAGCACATTTTTCAACAGCTGTCGTTAGATTCTTGGTCATGATTGGAGCATGGAAATACCTTAAATATCATATTTCCAACAAAAAAAAACACCCACTTCAAAACCAGTGGGAAAAGCCAGTCTGTTCTCATTCACACGGCCTCAGATACAGCAGCTTGGTCAGTGGCTATCAGATTCTGACGGACAAGGAACCCTTTGGCATCTATATGAGACTCAGAGAGCTTTCAACTAACTCCAGTGTAAACCCATCCGCCAGAATGACATAGTTTAAAGAGTGAGAAAGTCTGTGGTGGGAGGGAGGGGATATAGGCGGGTCAAACAAAGACAGGACTTTTATCCAGGAGACCAGTGTTTGTGTCCTGTGTGAAACCAAAACTCAACAAGGTTTTTATGTACTATGTAACATAGTTACTGTCATGTGACATACATGTCACATATGACCTTTAGCCCTTTTTACACAGAGACCGCACCTCATGCCGCCTTTGCATTTTAACACAAAGCCAAACAACAGCAGCATCACACCACTCTTGCGTGTGATTTTAGACAACATTGCGGAATCAAAAGAAGAGTGATGGGTGTGACATTTAACACAACAGCATCAGCCGTTAGTGTGACGTATAACATATGCATCAGCAGCGCTTTATAAACAATAATGATCATTTACCATCTCTGTTATACGGTGGCTGATCTCATCTTCTGCTCGGATTGTTGGGAGCTCTTGGACCTCATCGTTTTCCCAATTTGCAGACATTTTCGGCTGCTGTTCTTCTTTGAGTTAGCTGCCAGCTGCTATCAGCTACTTTTTAAATTTACCATGGTGGGTCGTATGCATAACACATCATCAAAGTGTCACACTGGTGCCACTGATGATCTCATTCTGTCGGCTGTCCCCTACTTGTACAGACATCAGTTGGCGCTGTTACTACCTCCATTCTTGGCTCAGAGGCGAGACAACTCCGTCCCCCCTGATTGCCAAATCATTATGTTTTTCTAAACCTAACCAAGTAGTTTTGTTGCCTAAACCTAAATTACCTGTGAATGTGGAAGTTTATTTTGAAAAGACACAATGCATGTAACAGTTAGAAATTTACACATCATCCCTAAGAACCAAAACTGACGCTAGAGGGGTACCTAGAGCGTCATATATTGAAACATAGGACCACTGACCAGGCTGCCATATTTGACAAGCTGGGAGTGAGACCTTGTTGAAAGAGCACAGACAAATACACAAATACTGTATAACAGTCTTGTGTTAAATAACCAGGGTGGCAGGTAACAGTGTAAATTGTGTCGGACCCCATCACTCAAAAGGTTTACATTTTTGGAATGCATATTCACTTTCTTGCCAGGAGTTTGATGAGAAAGTTGATACTACTCATGTCTGACAGGGAAAATATGAAGCTAGCGCCAGCAGCTGATTAGCTTAACTTAGCACAATGGCTGGAAACAGCAGGAGCATGCTAGCCCGGTTCTGTCAAAGGATAATAACATCCATCTAGACTGCATCTGAAATCATATACTCTGCACTACATACCCAATATGTATGCTATCATTCACCATGCTTCTGCTTAACTAAACAGTGGTATGTATCTTTGTCACTGAGCTGTAATTACCACGTCACTTCTTAAGAGCCTCCCTGCCAGCTGAAGATGCATAACCATGGAAACCCCTGCCCCTGCTAAGTGAAATCTTATACTTAAAAGTAAATTGAAGCATAATTGGCATTACAGAGCTGTCTCCTCGCTGTTCACCATTGTCTTTTGTACTGCTGGTTTCATACTAAGGATTCAGACGTACCAAACTACATGTTTTTGCATGTACGGATTTAACAAACAAGATATAATCTGTTCACTAAAATGGGCATACAATGTACAATTTGAGAAATACTGTACGAATAGATCATTTGCAGTGTAAAACCAAAGCTCTCAATTTATGTGCTCACACTGCAGTGCGATCGTCAAACCACGACCTGAGTGCTCACACTGTATATGTAAAATATACAGTAAAATGGTTCGTTGGCCCCTTGCTGACTCTTCTGGGTATTGCCAATTGTCAATAAATATTTGAAAGTTCCAGGGCAGGTAGAAGTTTACAGTTCACAATAATGTTGAGACAGACGTCCCAAAAAGAACTTAAAAGTCAATTTCTATAAAAACGGGTAGGTCTAAGTTTTTATTCCCTCTGTTTCTCTGTCTCTCAAGTTAGCAGTACCACCAAACTTGCTGGGTTTAGGCTACACTGAGGGATTGATTGGGAAGAAAGGCACTGATCTTGGGGAATCTACTCGTGGCTCTGCTTCAACTGTGATAGAGACAAGCAAAATTTGACTTGTCAGAAATTCATCCAAACCCCGTATATTCCACGACAAACAATGCCCAATGATGCTGAAATTCAGTCTGACTCTAAAATGAATTGTGCGGCTCAAAAATGGGGTCAGAAACAGTCTCAGGTCATACAGTGTATGCCCAGCTTTAGAGAGCTTGAGGCGCTGGCTGGTATCATCTCATCTAACTCGACAAGAAGGCAAATAAGCGTATTTCATAAAATGTCAAACTACTTCTTTGGAATGGTACACTGGATAATATTTTTTACATTACTTATCTGAAACATATTTAACATATAAAGCTGCAAAGGCAAAGAAAACTTCTAAAACAGGCTTTCTCTCAAGGGAGCTTCAACACCTGATGATGAATGAGCATTAAGTTCATCCTTGACCTTTGGAAGAGTCATATGACAGAGTAAATTTAGCTCTACGTCTACATCCGGACTTTTGAACAGACTCAACAACTGAGCAAACTATTAAGCTACAAAGTGGACTTTGAATTAAGATATTTTCAAATGGTAATGAATGTTTGGAGCTGTTAATGCTGTAATTGTGTAAAGGTAATCCTTAATCCCACTCTGTAACCCCCTTTTTAAAAGTGTAGCTGAGTAATGAGATCGCTTCAAGATTCGTTATTTATTTCATCGTGCTTTTGTAGCTCAGTAAATCTTGTAACTTGATCGACTTTGGCACCTCAACCTAAGCACACCTGTTGTTTTGAATATACAGAGGTCATCTGTATTATTACTGTGAAACTGCACTAAAGGAACCATGCCCTCGCCTTGCCTTCTGGTCTTTGTAGTTGCCTACCATTTTCTGCCAAACTTCCTCTTTGGGTTTGAGTTAAGATTGTCACACTTTATTACAAGTTTGAAAGGTTAAAATAAAGATTGTCCTCTTTTTTTCTTGTTGACTGTAATCTTCTTCTTCCATCTGATGTACATAATCTGCCCGTCTTCCATTTATCCATTTTTCTTCCCATCTACCTCCAATTATCACACGTATTTAAATGTGTTTTCTCGGCAGTATAATCCAAGGTAAAGGTGTCTACTCAATTATAGCAGATGTAATCAGATTTTTGGAGATCCAGGTTTAACCGCGGCTGATTGCATTACTTGATGTGAAACGCATTTATTTCTTCTCTTTAGGGAATGACAGTGCTCAAAAGTCAAACTCAGAGACGTGACTTTACATAATGAAAAAGCATAATGACACGGCGTACTTTCTGACCCTCGCACAGTTTGAGAGAGAGAAAAAAATGTTGCTATTGGAAAGTTTGTTTTTCAGGTCTGATAAAGAAGAATGTTCATTTTCTATTGGATGTCATTTTGGGGATAATTTACCGCAAAGGGGGAGATAATATATTACTACATCAGAATCAGTGTCATTGAGTGGTGCTGATGCAAAAAGTAATTCATCGCTCAATTACCTCGCCATATATTCTGAGAATGAGTTTCGTCGCGTGGCAAATGAAGGAGGCCTGCTGTCTCTTTTCTTTCGGAGAACCAACAATTGCACACACTAGACAAGGGCAATTACACTTCGCTGCTCATTCTGACGTCTGTCGGGTGTTGAAATGGCATTTTAAAGCGAGATAGTAATCATCTCATTTCTGACTCTCATGGGAGGTGTTTAATGGTGTAGGGTCGCGCGTAGGGTCAAGGTAAAGATGGTTATTTCAGTTAATGCTTCCAGCCCATGTTTCAGGGCCTCGGTTTGTGTCACTCAACGAGATAAGGAATGGCTGAAAAGCTTTGCTCACCATGGAAACCAACCCACACTTGTTCTCTGTGAGTCTTTGCAGATCCTGTTAGAAAAGCAGGGTTTTGTATTTTACATCACAGCTGATGAATAGCTGCAGCTGCTGAAGTCCATCTGATTGGCTCTACAGCGGGGTTTTGTGCCGAACTATTCCTCAGCCGGGAGCAGTGACTTGTTGATATAAACCCCCATAAAACCACAACTTGCCATCTTTATATGTCTGTTTTTGTTCAGATTAAACACATAAATTATAATTTGTTAACTTGTGAGCTTTAGACATTTGACATCCTATGTATTGAGACATACTAAATCTTTTTCTGGCACACTATTTAGTATGGTAGTATGGTTATGGAAACGCACAGTTTATTTTGAAGGGAATTCATTGTAGGTTGATCAAACAGCCTCCGGGGAGGAGAGGCCCACCCTTGCCCCCTTCTGCACACGTCCCTGCGTCAAGTTCAAGTTGTTCTTATCATAGTTACAGTTACAAAGACGCAGTCAGTGGCAGTGAAAATCTGAGGCCTGAGGCTCCCTCGAACAATACTCATTAAATATCTATAAAAAGAAAATCAAGCAATTAAAAACGAAATAAATCTCAATAAAATTAATTGTACGAGTTAAAATATTGTTTAAATGTAAACAAAATATAAATTATGTTATATAAATGTGTGTATACCATATTGCAAATGAATACAGTGAATGTAAACAGGAATGTAATAAATGTATGCAGGGCACTTGTTCTCTATGAGCCTTTGCAGATCCTGTTTTTTTTCCTTACAGCTGATAGATGGCTGCAGCTGCTAAAGTCCATCTGTTTGCTGCCACAAATACCTCAATGCCTAATTACACAAACAATGTCAGCAAATTTGCCCTTTTGAGTTATCGCCTCCACTCAGTAAATGCCTCTTTTGTTTGTTTTGGTCTCCATCATCAGCAGTTCTTAATTTCTTGTAGCCCCCTGTCAGACTATTTTTGGCACTGTGACTTCACGTTCAACAGTTCAACTGGGTTTAATCTCCGCTTGTCAGCCTGGCAGCCGATTGATGGTGCTTGTTGCTGCCACTGTTGTGACCTGACATTTTGGAAAACTTTTCTTCAGGGGTTGCGTGAAAATGACCGTGTGCCAAGATGCCCATCAAAGGTGGTACAACTTCTGCATCAAAAATCATCAGACAGTCACAGGAGGATGGTGTCTGCCAGCTGAAAAGATAATAACAACACATTAGAGTCAAACACACACTGTGTTTCTGAATGCAAATACAACAATCTAAATTAAACAGTGGTAACTGATTATTTCAGTAAGACAAACATAAACAAACAATAATAAAAACCATTTTATGGAAATTTCAATCAGAATTCCTGTTTTGAAGCAGTGTTATATAAACCTGAACTCTCCATTAGTGCTCCCCCGTGATTATATATTATTAAGGGTCACCACAAATCACATCTGCAGAGAGCAGCCCCCGTCTTGTCATGCTTTCCATTCTCTCATGACTCACATGTAGTCGACACTAATGAGAGGGCAGATTTACTTCTCTAGAGAACTACATTATGGTTCTGTAGTCTTTTTTTTTTTTAATAAATAGGCTATGAAGATGCAATATTTGCATCTCTACTGCTGCTGTTGCTGTGTGCATGTCTGCAATGATCACATCTTCAGTTAATTTATTTGCCATTGAAAACTGCCTTGTATTTAAACATGCATGTGATTAAGTAATTAACAGAAAATATTGAAAGGAAATGCCTTGTGTTTAGCAAATTATTTAGTGGTGATTAAAATGTATTCAGAAGTAACTTATTAATAATGCATTCACCTCATTAATCAAGTCTGTGTCTGGTATTGTTCTGTCTGTATTTTCTTGTTAAAGGTTCATGGTGCAGGATTTAAGGGGATGTGTTTGCAGAAATGCCCCTAAATGTACCTAAAACACCTTTCCAAGGTTTACCCAAAGTAAACTGAGAGCTGTCCTTGTTCCATGTTTAGCACATGTACATGCATGGTCTCATCTGAAAGGTAACACTGCAAGTTTTTTCCCCAACAGTTAAAAATTACTGTAAGTGCTCCTGTCATTGAGTTATATAAGCTTCAACACACAGGCTTTCTTTTTTATCTCCACCTGAATATTCTCTTGCAAAAAGATACTGCAGATGACTGGGGCCATAACATGAAGCCTGACATCATCCAAAGTAGATAACAATATCACAGAAATAAAACATTTTACACATCTAAGGCTTCATCCAAGTGCTTTTCAATAAAAGAGGGTAAAAAAAATGTACTGAATGTATGAATATGAGTGAAAAGCTAATCAACACAGACATAAATGTCTATTTAGCAGCTTTCTGTATATAAAACACTTCTAGAAAAACTTTGATAAGAAATTGATAAGAAAGACTGTTTTCCACATTTGTTCATCTTTTCTGTTCATGTATAACAGTCTGTGGGGCCTGTAAAGAGTTCACATCTCCTTTTGAGGTCTGGAGTGTCATTGACTACAAGACCTACAAGCCATCAGAACAAATGGAAATTTAAATGTCTTATCCTGTAAATGTACACACATGTTCCTTCAACACATACCTTCGTTGGCTGTCGAGGCCATAGCACCAGCAATGGAAGCTCCTATTGGCTCAAGTGAGGTGTCAATGAAAAGGCCAGGAGTTTGCCTCCATTTTGAGATCCGGCAAGTCGGTTTATTGTTTACTTTGTTTTGAAGAATGAGAGAAGTTCAAGATAATATGTGGAGAAATATGAACATGTGAAATGATACAACAGCAGTTAGTGGATATCTATGGATGTGATGATGTGTGTTGGACTAAATATTTAGCTCGATTAAGATCATCTGGATTATTGGCAGTGTGTGAGAAGTGAATTGATAGCTGTGTAAGCAGAGGTTCTGTGGATAATGTCAATCGGTGGATTCAAATTATTTATTATAGCTAAGTTAAAACTGTTTTTTGTCTTAAAGAAGAGTTTCTTGAAGCTGCTGTGGTTGTTTGGTTATGAAATGGTCAGCATTAATAGAACAGGGAGGAGCATAGCTTTGGAATGATAGGTCCTTTGAGTAAACCACTTAAACAACAACAAATACAGCTGCTATTTACCTATCATAAATGATCAAAAAACACCTTAGGATGGGCTGCAGACGGGCTGTCAGACTTTTAACAGTTTTGATATAATGATTTTTTTTTCTTTAGTGTATAATAACCTGAAAATAGAAATCATTGTGTTGTTTTTACCTTAGAATGAGCTGTTTATATCTACACAGGGAGCAGGTCCTGATCTGCAGAGACCGCCATGTTGCACTACCATGTTTCTACAGTAGCTCAGAATGGACAAACTAAACACTAGCTCATTTTCTGAGTCAGCCACTGTGGTTAGCAGCCAGTGTTGTAACATAAAACTGCTTTATTCATTGTTTTTACCCTATAAATCCCTGGGTCTGTTTGTTTTGGAGAGGAGGAGACCTCTGCGGATAATTTGGCGTCTGGTTAAAACCACCTGAACATCTGGATCAGAAAACAGGTGAGCACAAATTAGCAGGTACACGGCTGGCATCCTGTTTGTGACATGAAACTTTATTCAGTGTTTTTACTGGTTTAAATCAACGAGTTGTTTGTTTTTGAGAGGAGGAGACCTCTGTGGATAATTCAGCCCCCAGTAAAAACCTCCTGAACAATGAACACTGAAGAACTTCTAGCTGGTCGAAGTTTCAGTTGGTTGCAACCTGCAATCCTCACCACTAGATGCCACTAAATCCCCTAAATCTCACACACTGCTCCTTTAAATAAATCATGTTTATCTTTCTAATGTGATATTATTAGTTGGTTTGTGCAGCAAAAAGTAATGATATTGGTGATTCTGGTCCTGTTATTATTTGGTATCAGATGGAAGTCTGATTTGCCTGCAGTGCCTAGTTACAGTTGCTAAGCTGTGATTGGACAACAGCTCCTCGGGTGAGAGGTTTTGTAAATGGTCAATTAGAAATCATAAAATTCAGGATGACTGCAGCTCAGCGCCTCACCCTGACTCCAGCTCTTGGTTTGTGACAAATCTGTATTTATAGCCGAAGCGTACAAATGATGTGCAGCTCTGCAGAGAATAACAAGTGCATGGCCCATATTATCCCTGTCACCTACAAGTGCA